TAAATAAATATTATCTTTACTAAATATTTTGGTTACCAAATATATTAATTAGAATTTTATTATTCCACATATTAATCAAACAAATAGATAATATAAAAAACAAATAAACTGGAGTCTTATATTTATAATAAAAGTTCAAGGGGTGTAGTATATAGGATTGAGGGTTCACACTTTATACTTATGTGATGCATCAAATATCCTTAGTATTTTTTTAGATACATGCAGTACTTTAGAGTTTTTTTTATGCACTAAAAATATTTTAAGTTACTGAATATACTTGAAAAAATATTTTAGGTTGTCGGATAGGTTAAAAAATACTGCACATACTTAAAAAAATACCTCCAACATATTAGATGCATCATAAAATATTTTAGGTTACTAAATACACATGAAAAAATTATTTTGACGTGTTAAATGCACATTAATCCATATATATATATATAATTCCCCAAAATCCACGTCATTATAAAAGTAAGGAGTGAGTCCTCTTTATATCTTTATTCGAAATCGCGGTAGGGTCTTTCAAAATGCAAATTTTTAAAATTATATCAACTTATATAAAGATACTTATAAACATTTAACGCAAGGAGCTCCAAACAAGTTCTAATTTAAATTATTATCCGCAAGCGACATCACCACTATTAAAATGATGATGGGTACTGGAAAATACTGGTTTGTTTATAGGTGCCGAGTTTTTCAAGGAGATCGAGTGTCTAGTGACTTGATGGTGAGCAGCTAAAAATGTTTTGAAAGATTAAAATAAATTCCAATCGGCATTTAGCATCTCAGAAGATATAAGAAGTTTACTAATGTATGTATAACTAAGAGGAAAATACGTCTTACAATTGGTGTTTGCAAGTAATGTGTTGTCTTTTACTCCAATAACCCTTAGCATTTTTCTTAAATATTTTTAAGCATAGGCATTCTTTCATGAGTCTGAAATCACATCTAAACTAAACGTAGCAGTGATATTAAAATTAGAATAACTTGTTTGGTAGTTAGTTGTAAATGAAAAAAATAATAGAAGAAAGGTAAAGTTGCATACAAACCGCTCGATAAACATATCTGCCTGCACAGTCTTGAAAATAAATTAGGTCCTTGCTCCAAATTATTTTTTATAAAAAGGCACACTCTACTCCTAAATATAAGTCGTCTATATAAAAAAAAGTTTTAATGCTAAATATCAATCACTTATATAATATATTTAATGCTTATTTTTTAATTTTTATTGAAAATAGAGAAAAAAGAGTGAGATATGAGATGATTGGTAGTTGTAAAGAGAGGAAAAATTCTAACAAGTTGCTGGTAAAAGAGAAAACTAGAATGAGAATAAAATTAAAAAAATTTTGCTTTTTCAATACATTTTCTATTTTGCAAGAATACTCGTATTTGTAGGTAATTTATATAAATAATTAAATATAGTTATTAATTTTAGGGGCCCGCGGGCACTGGACTCGTCCAAGAAGTTCCCCTTGTTCTAGCAGTAACAGAAAACAAGGAATCCCTTCTAATGCCCTCTTCATACTTTATTACCCAGCAGCGATGGTATCATATTCTTTCTTGTTTCCTTATTTTTCCGAATTAAGTTCCGCGGCTTTAGCTGCTGCTAAAAATTCTGGTAGGCATGGATGCCCTTTTTTTTTTTTTTTTTTAAAGAAGGCGGGACCCATTGATCCCGCTTCTAATCTTAGCCAGTGAGCCTTTAATTCAAAGAGAGAGTCACATTGTGCTCCTCCCTACCGAGTCTTCTTCCTTTTTGGCAGGCTTGTCTTGCGAGTTACGATTCTTCGTGGAAATAGTCCTGTACTTCCCGCGGAGGCTGCTACTATTTTTCTTTTCGCAGTGATAGTCAGCATGGGTATATGAAGCTCATGTAGGGGGGTCTCTGAGGATACAGTTCCAGAAGGAAAAATTAGAACGCAAAGAAGATAAGTGAGCAAAGCAAAGGATACGGTCTGGCGATGGATCAATTTATAGATGAACGCTTTACAAGAGTGCGATCTAAGAACTCGTCAAGAGAAGCTCTTGAAAAATGGAGGAACGTATGCGGTGTAGTGAAGAACCGCAAACGACGGTTTCGTTTCACTGCCAATCTCTCCAAGCGAGACGAAGTGGCTGCTATGCGTCGTACCAACCAGGTATTTCTACCTTGTATAAATCGTCGATGTATGGTCCATTGTTGGAGACTATTGGGACAGATTCAAGATGCTTCTTATTTGAATCAGACCTAGGTTCAAAACCATACGAACAATGAATCTATCAAAGGAAAGGAAAGAGATAGATTTTTGGGCGACAAATGAGCATTTCCGTCCGACATATGAAAAGCCCTCTCATAAGAATTTTTAATTCCATCAAAGACAAACATTCTGTTCTCTACTTCTCTGTTCTTTGACTTGTCTCCTACCTTACCTTTAACACTATTCCGTAAAACTGCGAGAGATGAATCAGACTGACTCTTCATGCTCGGCACAGCAACATACTAAAAGCTTCTCTAAATGATATTTTCACACAAGAGATATTTCAAGTTTTAATCCTTAAATTTCCTGCATTGTTCTGAGACAGGTTTAAAATATTAAATTTATTTATTTATTTATTGCTCACTGATTTATGCAGTATAACTTTTTTAAATTGCGTTATAAAAGGACAAATGCATCTCTGTGACTTATTTTTTATCATTTGTTTTTGCTCCTGTATTTACTTCATAGGTGATAGTATTTTATCAGACTCATAAACAGAGGAACATTGCTCCTCTTCCATTGATTATGCAAAAGAATATTTTTATAAGTTATGGTTGAAGATACTTACTGAGGGGAAGAATGTCCCAAAATGTAGCTAAACTAGCAGATTTCTAGTTGGTTTTTAAAAACATATTCCTTGGAAGCTTCTCTTGACGAGACCTACAGTATCTAAGAAGTTTATAAGAAGTCGTATTATTCTCACGCAATAAACAGTATGGCTTACTATATAAGATTTCGTGCAATACAAGGGCCCTACCATCAAGTGGTGTGAGATAATGCTAATGTAGGTAATAAGTTAAGCTGTGAAGGAAACAGAGTGGTGGTTAGATTGCTTCGTTGGTATGCATGTTTAATGCAAATCGAGAGGATCAGAACCGGACCTGATACTTTTGCCACATCAACGATTTCAAAATAAAGGCACTATCAATCTACTATTACTTGGCCATAAAATTAAAGGGAACTAGAAATAGTACAATGTTGAAGTTGATGTCGATTGGAAATGCCATCCCAACACAGTTATTCTCTTAATTTTCCAGACCCCTTGCGTTTTTTTTCCTATTTCTTGTTATAGGGAAGTGATTACATGTATTTTAGTTAGTTCTTCTTCCGCCTTCAAATTTTCTCTTTCTCCAAATTATTCATTATTGCCTGACAGCATATACAGATTATTTTTATAGCAAATGAACTTGAAAATGCTTTTAAAGAGCATATTCCTCTACCTTTCCATTAAAGTAGTGCCACATTCGATGTTAATATTTCTCAAATATTCGTTGTCTTTTTGATGTAGGAGAAGCTGAGGGTTGCTGTTCTAGTCTCCAAAGCGGCTCTTCAATTTATTCAAGGTGATTTTCTTCAGCATTATTTTGAAATGCACTTGAGAGTTTGTCTGTATACTTACTTGTCACTACATCTGCAGGTGTGCCACAAAGTGACTATGTTGTACCCGAGAATGTTAAAGCAGAAGGTTTTCAGATCTGTGCCGAAGAATTGGGGTCTATTGTTGAAGGTCATGATATAAAGAAGCTGAAATATCATGGCGGGGTTAATGGTCTTGCAGGCAAGCTTTCGGCTTCAATCACTGATGGCCTCAGCAATGACCCTGATCTTCTTAACAAGAGACAAAAGATTTATGGAATCAACAAATTTACTGAGAGTGAGGCTCGGAGTTTCTGGGTTTTTGTTTGGGAAGCCCTCCAAGACATGACTCTCATGATCCTTGGTGTATGCGCTCTTGTGTCTCTCATAGTTGGCATAGCAATGGAAGGATGGCCCCATGGTGCCCATGATGGTCTTGGAATTGTTGCAAGTATCTTGCTGGTTGTCTTTGTGACAGCAACAAGTGATTACCGCCAATCATTACAATTCAAGGACTTGGACAAGGAGAAGAAGAAGATTACCATTCAGGTCACAAGAAATGGTTATAGGCAGAAAATGTCAATATATGATTTACTTCCCGGTGACATTGTGCATCTTGCTATAGGAGATCAAGTGCCGGCAGATGGCCTATTTCTTTCCGGATTTTCTGTCATGATCGACGAGTCAAGTTTGACTGGAGAGAGTGAACCGGTGATGGTGACTTCTGAAAATCCATTTCTTCTTTCAGGCACTAAGGTCAAAGATGGCTCTTGCAAAATGATGGTTACCACAGTTGGGATGAGTACTCAATGGGGTAAGTTGATGGCAACTCTCAGTGAAGGAGGAGTTGATGAAACCCCGTTGCAGGTGAAGTTAAATGGAGTGGCAACCATTATTGGGAAGATTGGCCTGTTCTTTGCTGTAATTACTTTTGCAGTTTTAGTGCAAAGCCTTTTGAGCCGTAAGTTCCAAGAAGGAAGCCTCTTGACCTGGTCTGGAGATGATGCGTTGCAAACTTTGGAATTCTTTGCTGTTGCAGTTACAATTGTTGTTGTTGCTGTTCCAGAGGGGCTGCCGTTAGCTGTCACATTGAGCCTTGCTTTTGCTATGAAGAAGATGATGAATGACAAAGCCCTTGTCCGAAACTTAGCAGCTTGTGAAACCATGGGATCAGCCACAACTATATGCAGTGACAAGACTGGAACATTAACTACCAACCGCATGACAGTCGTGAAAACATGCATTTGTATGAATAGGAAGGAAGTGAGCAATGATGCTTCTTCTACCTTGCCTTCTGATCTTCCTGATTCTGCTGTGAAAGTCCTGCTACAGTCAATATTTCTTAACACTGGAGGAGAAGTTGCAGTCAATGAAAATGGAAAACGCGAGGTTTTGGGGTCACCAACGGATGCTGCAATATTGGAGTTTGGGTTATCTGTAGGTGGGGACTTTCAGGCAGAGAGAAATGCTTGTAAGCTTGTCAAAGTTGAGCCATTTAACTCTGTAAAGAAAAGGATGGGTGTAATTGTGGAGCTTTCCGAGGGAGGAGGCTTCAGAGCCCACACAAAAGGAGCTTCTGAAATAATTCTGGCTGCCTGTGACAAGGTTATCAATTCCAAAGGTGAGGTTGTTCCGCTTGATGAAGAATATAGGAACCATCTTACGGTGACAATAAACCAATTTGCAAGTGACGCACTTAGGACTCTGTGCATTGCCTACATGGACATGGAAAAGGGATTCTCAGCTGAAGACCCCATTCCAGTTTCTGGGTATACTTGTATTGGAATTGTTGGTATTAAGGATCCTGTTCGTCCTGGTGTTAAAGAATCAGTTGCAGTTTGTCGTTCAGCTGGTATAAAAGTAAGGATGGTTACGGGTGACAATATTGATACTGCAAAGGCTATAGCTAGAGAGTGCGGGATTTTAACAGACGATGGTGTAGCCATTGAAGGTCCAGAATTTAGAGAGAAGAGTCAAGAGGAATTGCTCAAACTGATCCCAAAAATTCAGGTGCTTCATTCTCTTTCTGTACAAACCATGTTGATTTCCTTAATACACAACCAAGAATATGTAGTTAATCCTTTCTAACACGATCTTCAATTTCCTCCGTAGGTTATGGCCCGTTCTTCACCTATGGACAAGCATACATTGGTAAAACACCTCCGTACCACATTTGGGGAAGTCGTAGCTGTGACTGGTGATGGAACAAATGATGCCCCAGCCCTTCATGAAGCTGACATTGGACTTGCAATGGGCATTGCTGGAACTGAGGTGAGTTCTATACTGTTGCCGTCTATATTTAAATGTAATAAAGATTAACATGGGGGGAAAGGGGGAAAAAGACACAATTTTTTTTCCGTACTAATTTTGTGATTTCTGTGTAGGTTGCTAAAGAAAGTGCAGATGTCATCATTCTGGATGATAATTTTTCCACAATCGTGACAGTGGCAAAATGGGGACGTTCAGTGTACATAAACATTCAGAAGTTTGTGCAGTTCCAGCTGACTGTTAATGTGGTTGCGTTACTAGTGAACTTCACTTCGGCTTGCTGGACAGGTCACACATCAATCATAACTTGACTAGATTGATTATGAACTGTCTTTCAATATTTTTAATTTCTTCTTACTATTGAGGTTTCTGGAAATTGTCCTCTGCTTCGTCTTAAGATTATGCATTCATGTGCTCTTCAGGAAGTGCACCCCTTACAGCTGTACAACTACTGTGGGTGAACATGATAATGGACACGCTGGGAGCACTGGCTCTTGCAACTGAACCTCCAAACGATGAATTAATGAAGCGGTCACCAGTAGGAAGGACAGGTAATTTCATTAGCAGCATCATGTGGAGGAACATCTTAGGACAATCATTGTATCAGATTATGGTGATATGGTTTCTTCAGACCAGTGGAAAGTTGTATTTTAACCTCAATGGCCCTGATGCTGATCTGATCCTCAACACGTTAATTTTTAACACATTTGTCTTCTGTCAGGTAAACAAGCCTCTAAGAACTCTAGCTTTTTTGACATTGATAAGCCGAAGAATGTTTGCATAACCAATCTATTTAGACATGTCGAGCTTCTATCTGCATGTTGCCTTATCAGATGTGGACTTTGATTTTGCAGGTTTTTAATGAAATAAGCTCACGTGAGATGGAGAAAGTAAATGTTTTCAAAGGCATATTGAATAATTATGTTTTCGTAGGCGTTGTCAGCTGCACTGTTATCTTTCAAATCATAATCGTTGAGTTCTTGGGGACCTTTGCAAACACCACACCTCTCACTCTGCAGCAGTGGTTTTCAAGCATATTTATCGGGCTTTTGGGCATGCCAATTGCAGCTGTCGTAAAGATGCTCTCTGTCTCGATCTAAGGGCTTCAGATCAATAAATTCTTCTTTAACAACAGTGTACATAGTTGTTGACATTGCTTAAATCTATCATTTGAAAGAATTTATTGATCTGAGTTTATTTCGATAAATTCTTCTTCTAAGGGTTTCAGATCGATAGATTCTTTCAAACAATAGTTTTAAGGTTTATCCTAGCGCCAGTGCTTTCAGGTCCCCAGTTATTGTACACGTGCACATAGGTATTTGGTACCGCTTAAAGCTATTGTTTGATTGAAGAATTTATCGATCTGAAGCCTTTGGATCAGTAAAATTTTCTTTTCAAGGGCTTGAGATCGATATATTATTTTTTTCAACAATAGTTTTAAGGTTTACTATAGTGGCAGTGCTTTCAGGTCCTCAATTATTGTACATGTGTACATTAGTTGCTTGGTACTGCTTCTGTTTGAGGATTCCTGGGAATAGATGTGTAATTTGAGCCGGAACTGAGTTGTAGCACTGTCATTGACTTGTTATTAGCAACTAGAACTGACTTGTACCTAGCAACGGTGATTCCCTGTTATGATTTTTTAAAAGATTCCACATGATGATTTTATTAACAATCCTTCTGGCGAGATGTGCACCTAAGTCAAGTCTGTTATCAACAAATTGATTTTGTTTACTGTCAAAAATATATTATCTCCGATTCTAATTATAAAACTTCGTTTATAATTTACAAATAAGGTGTTATAATTAAAACTGAAGGTATTAATTATTTCCATCTAAAATAGATTCCCCTGGAAAGTAATATTAAGATTAAAAGATTTACCAAAAAAAAAAACTAGAAAGGATCAAAAGTAACATTTTTTAAATAAAATATGTTGACTTCTTATAACTTTTATGATAACAATAAAATTAATTTATCACATGATGTATTAAGAAACACAACCTCATAAAATCTATTAATGCTCATAAAAATTTAAAATAATTTAAAGTTATACTTCTAATCAAGTTGGTTTAGGTCTTCAACATAAAGAGAGATGATGAATTTTCAACATCTAACAAGTAGTTCTTTGTTGAAATCTTTATTACTACTCCTGTCTTTAATATAAAACCCAATTGTTGAATTGATTTTAATTCTAAATATAAAACTCATTTTTTATATTTATCAATTTTCTTTAAATTACCCTTATAGATACTCCCTCAACAATAATTAAGTAGAAAAAGAAGAAGAGATATTAAGAAAGATGATTATAGTATCTTAGGAAAAACGTGTCACATTTCTCATAATTAACTAACTTACCTAACTTCCTTAATCTAATCAAATTAATTAAATGAGTCTTATACTAAAGACCGAAGGAGTACTATTTATTGAGGATAATTTTTTTTCTTACTCTATCAAAAATAAAAATACCAGGAGGATCAAGAATAAAGAAATAAATTCCTGCCAAGTTTGTCCAACCATATCTTTATACCAACAAAAAACACAGGTGGAAATAAGTAAATTATTTACAACAGAGATTTAACGGCTCTCGAATAATATTCTCAAATTTCCACAACAGATTCGCAAAAGCAAAAATATAGCACTGTCTATGCTTCAGTCATGGAGACCCTACCCGTTTCATATAAATGATACATCCAAAGAGGTTCAAGCAGCTTCTTTGCATTGTCTAATTTCTCCTGATCATCTTCATGACTTCGTTCTGCAATTTCTCTCTCTATCTTAGGGTAGATCTCTTGCAGAAAAGACAGCATTAATTCACCCCAATCCCGGTCATCTTGTCTAAATAATTTTAGACATACAAAGCGCAAGAGTCCTAATGCCAATTCAAAATCTTGTCTCTCCAGCCCAATCAATGAACAAGTCAAGAAAATAACCCCAACTGCATCCATTATGTATGGATTCCCTCTCAATTGTATAATCAGCATTGCCAGAAGTTTATTGAAAGCAGAAAATTTTTGTGGTTGAGAACATTTGCCATCCTCCTCATCGCCATGTGTTTTTACTCCAGAAAGTTCGATTTTGGCTAAAATCAAGGGCCATTTAGGAAAATGAAGCTTCATTCTGTCTGATGAAACTGGGCTTATCTCATCACCCTGCCTTTGTTTTAATATGATTCCAGATCCTAATGCCAGCACCAAATCAGGGAGCCAGGGTTTCACTGCTGCAACAAGACCCGATGCGCACCCAGAGCCCCAGTATAATTCAATCAGGATAATTAAATCCATCAAGTCATTGGCAAGATCAAAAGCTTTAGGTGAAGTTGTGGAAGATTCACTCAAGTGTCCAAGTATCAGATTGAGTAATTTCGCTGCATAGGTGAAAGAGCTCTTCAGACAGAAAATTGTATCCTTCATATCCTCTTCATTAAGATGAATTTGGTTATGATGTAGTCCGTCAATTAAAGATATGATGTGTTTTACACATCCTGAAGTGTAATTTAACAAGACTCCAGGCTTGTCAAGAGCAATGCCCATTGCAGTGATGTCAACCATGAACATGAGAACAGCTGTAAGCATCTTCACTTTACATAATACTCGTGGCTCATCGTATTCAGACCCTATGCAAATAATATAAAACCAATAGTCATGAAAAAGTAAAGGAGAATACCTCAAGACACAATCAAAGACAGGCCAAATTCATGTCTCACGTGCATCATAAGCGTTCCAAATGCAATGTTTAAATGTTAATCAGTTGCCAGCCGGCAGCCGGCCACAACAAAAAAACGAGCTTCAACAGAGGTTTGGTGTCTATTCTGCATGACAATGAGGGCCAGTTCCTAGCTAAGAAACAGCCCTCTAACATGACCTTCTCATTCATGAACCCCTATAAATCTCTAACGATGCTACTTTCTTATGCACATATAAGAATGACAATGTGGCTCTAATGTAAACAATGTGGCTCTAATGTAATGACCGAAAATATCTGACATTTCTTGACGTGTTAATAATATACTGAGTGTTTGGAGTGCAACACTATACAAGGGTCGTGCATAAAATAAGGTACTCAAAGGGCAAAATCTGTGGTGAATCATCTCCTGAGATACATTAAAAAAAAAAAATGAATACTAATACCAGCCTATTCAGAACCAATTAATCTGATAGTGTGCCACAGATCAAGTCAATGTTTTTCAAACTGTAAACACAAAGCATTGCGGTAAGTGAGCTCCAAGCACTCGGCCAAAGCAAGCCCATTATTTCTCACATGCGAAAGTGTGATAGAGAAAATTGCTTATTTTGCGTATTTAGTCTTATTTATGCTCCTTGCATGGTCACTCACCACCGTTATTCAGGCTGGGAGCATCTGTAGGAGATGACCTACGCCGTTGAGCAGGATTTCGAGTTGTCCTTCTGGTAGACTGCAACATGTCCAAATCCATTTTGCCCTGTTTTGCGCTGTCATCTGCTCCAAATAATTTTTCTAAACAGCAGAATGTATTGTCCATTGCCGTCTCTAAAATAGTCTGCGTAGAAAATTTTTGCGGGGCTAGGTTAGAAGTTAGGCAACTCACCCACTCACTAGCAATGTTTCAGGCAGGAACAGTAGTAAAGAAAGGTTCACAAGCCATAGTCATTCTATTTAATGCATGACGAGTTCTACACAAAAATCTAGCGGAAGATTTCAAAAATGAACTTTGAGGTGCATGTGATTATTATGCGATAATGAAGAATCAAGAAAACTGAAAGTTTCAAAGGAGGCAATATATACAATAACCTGCACAGCTTAAATATTTTCATGTATCACGACACCATGGGGGATAGCAATAGTAATTAAGTTGGACAACTTCTTTGGTCTCTATATGATATACCTACATATGATTTTGAAGTTTGCAAATATGCATTTACTAGCCTAGAAACAAAAAGGAAGCAAAAGAAATGAAGGGGAGACAAAAACACTACAAATGGCATCGCCTGCCTGCAAGGAAACGAAACAATTGCAGAACCATTTTCTAACAATAGCCAGCAAATAAGGCCAGAAATCCAAGAAAGTCTACCATGGGAAAATTTTTAACAGAGCCCAAATTTGAGCAAACTGCAAGAAGGAATTTCACTTGCCTCTGAAAGCAACATAGAAGAATTATTTTTATCTCTTTCCTTCCTGTTATCTTTTTTCTGTATAGTACCGGGTTCAATATTGTACAGAGACATTTCCAGAGCAAGAGCCATATATGCCAAAACAGGAGAGGTGTCCAAATATTCGCATTGCCCACAATGCACGATACTGACATCAGATATCACTTTAAGAGCAGAAAACGACATTTCCAGACTTTGAGATTTCAATAGAGATTTCTTGGTATCTTCATGCAGAAGCATGTCTCTAATTTGCCATGCTATCCCAACAGCAACAGAATAATCATCCTCAAAAGATTGCTTTCTGTTGATAACTTTCAACTTGATTGGAAATTTTCCAGATGACTTAGACATCTTCCTCTTTGCTGAAGAAGCACGGTATGATGCCATTTCTATGCCAAATTTAATATGACAACGGTAGGCAGTCTTATGCAAGAGGGTTGATAAAGTTTCAAACATGTCATCAAAATTTCCTGAAGAAAGTAGCAACTTATGCGCGGACCTCAATTCAGCTTCGCAATCAATATCTTTAGGTAAACCATTGCAGTTTGTGATTACATACATGCATTCTTCAAGAATTCCAGCAATGCCATCCGGACAGATGTTAGAGACAATATTGAATAAAGAAGAATGGGCTTGGCTTGTAGATGCCACAGCAAGTAAGGCTTTCCCTTTGTCCCCAGCAATTAATTCTTTGAGGGCATTTCTATCACAAGGTTCACTAGCTAAGTTATCACATACATAGCTAGAAGCAACAAGAAAGCCCTCAATCTGATGTGCATCTAGCTTATTGGGAGACAAGACCAAACTCAAGAATATTTTGACCAGTTCCACAAGATGCTTTCTAGATGGTCCTTCAGAGATGACAAACTTGCAAAATCTTGCCCCGCCAATAGGAGACCTTTTCACAAGAGTCACACAGCGATTACATGCCTCCTCAACCGGCACTTTTAAGGGAAAGTATGAAGGTATAAGCAATTTTGTTAATTTTTGAGCTACAGGAGGTTGATCATTAGCAAGCACCGCCAGTAACGTATCAAGATCCACCACCTACATAAAAGCAAATCATTTTAGCAATGATATGAGAGGCATGAGAGAATGCATTTCTAGGGTAATTCTAAATTTAAAACAAAGCTGTACCTTGTTGAACTGAAAATTTCTGATAGTATTTAAATGGAGAAGCAGATCTGCCGCAGCAACTCGTACAGTGAGGACACCGTCCAGCAACAGATGCCTCAGTCTAGGCAAGAGCACCTTAAGAATTTCGTGAGAATGAGGATTGCCAAGCAGATAAACAATGCCTTTCAGTGAAGAGAGCCTAACCTCATGACAAACATCATGAGAAATGTCATCGGCTATTTTTTTAATTATCTTTGTTATGGTTGGTGAAGGAATAATTTCCCAATATAGATGAAGAACTCGGCATGAACCTTCAACAGCAATTTTTCTCACTTCTGGACAGTCGTCTGTAAGTAGTCTTTCCAATAAAAAGAACTGTTTATCAAGCAGCGTATCCTTCTCCTCTTTTGTGGCGTCAGGATCTTCAAGAGGAAACACGTCCAGAAGTAGATGCAAAGCATTCTGACGGACATTCGAATTCGCTACCTATTTCAAGGCATCAAAAAGAAAAATTCTGCTTATGTAGAGACTAAATTAATAGTTTGGGACACTTCTAAGCCCAGCATAGTGTTTGAACTTATATCCGCTAGGTCAGCAGCTCCTGAACGTTATCTGATTGAGGAGAAGATTCAAAAAAAAAAAAAGCTGAAGGCAAAAAAATTAAGTTCATTGTGCCACACTAAGCATTATGTTCTTGTTTTAGGAAACAATAAAAGTATAAAACTAAGGAAACTCCTACGCAGGCTTTCTCAGCTACAAAAATACTTGAGTCGGGAACGCCTTCCTACTAAAAATGACAGTACAACCCCCGTAATTCTGCTATTCCAGTTAGTTTTGTGATTTAGACTCCCCAATTCTACATATCAACAAGCAGTTTTTGTGCGGATATCTTGCCAAATCAATATTTAACACGGGAGAACATGTCTGCCCCAATTTTTACTATTCGGAAGCATCAACAAAGGCACAACCAAATTCTTAAAGAAAGAACGTGTAAGCAGACACAGGTGCACGTATATAGGAAGTACCTGCAGAGATCTAAATATCACAGGCTCTGCAAGTCGAAAAAGTAGCTTCTCAACCCCATTGGTGGTCCTCTGACCAATAAAAGCTCCCAAAACCCTCCTAATGTGTGAAGCAAAGGTTGCAGCACTAGCATGTATGGCACCCTCGACCAAATCCTGCAAAAACCTATTCTCAATTTCAACCCTCGAATCTCCTTGAGCGGCTTTCCAGGCCCGAAACAGAATATCCCCATAAGCCTCCAGCATGGACTTCCTTCCAAATGGTATCTGGGAGCGAATCATTGCCAGTAATTCTTTAACAAGTTGATTACTTAATCCAAAAATAAACGATAGGAAGCGCCGTCCATCCTCTGTTTTCAAATAAACCGGTGATATAACACATCGAACCAGCAAGAGTTTCAAATCATCAATACTCTCGTCATCAAAATCAAGCAAGAGAAAAGCCTCCCGCAATACACAAACTCTATGCACATCCACCTTCTTCTTCAGGGTCAGCGATCTTGAGAGTAGAAAAGGGAGAAACTGGGAAATCAACAATTCGTGGCCTGGCAGATTCTTCTTCCACCACTCTTCACACAGACATTCAATCTCCGATGACAAAACGGAAGCCGACTCAAATACAATCAGATTATCATGCAATGCCTGAACACCCGGCAGTAAATTGGAGGGTGAGAACACATTTTGGGGATGCGAAACGCATAACAGCGCAATGTGAGCGAGAATTTCAAGACGCCGAAGAATATTTTGCTTCTCATCCTCGATATTAGAGCCATGGGGTTCGCTTTCCGGCTCAGATGTAGTCTTGCAATGGCGCGAGGAGCGTCGGAGGCGCTTAGTGGGAGGGGAGGGGGGTGAGTTGGAGAGTCCGAGGTTTAGAGAATTTGGTTCTAGAATGTTCCGGAAGGATTGTACTGAGTTTGAGATGGAATCGCAGAGAGATAGAGGGAGAGAAGAACATAGACCAGACGAGGGCTTAATCTTATGAATGAGGGTTTTGAGGGAAGACTTGGAAGATTTCAGGCTTAGCGCCGTGGCTGATGAAAGAAAGTCCTCCGCCGAGGTCTGGAGAGATGAGCAAAGTCTCCTATCCATTTCGAAATACTTCGGACATGGAATTGAACTTTGTAAATAAGAACTTCACATTCCCACGATGATTTCTGAGTTTTGCACCGTCAGACTGAGAGAGATCTTCAGTTTTTTTTTTTTTTGCTTTTGGTCAGAAGATCTTCAAAATTGTTCATGGTTTGGAGGGAAACGCAGACATTTTAAACCTTTCACGAGCTTCCGTGTTTTTTTGTTTTGGGTATACTTCATGAGCTTCATTAGAGTCTACTGAGCTTGGATTCATTGGGTGAGGGTCTCCTGAACTCAAGGGCTCCCCGGCCCAATATAAAGAGTTATGACTTAAACTTTTGGGCCGCTCTCCTATCTTTGCTACTCTTTTCTCCCAAAAAAAGGATACGTTCACTTAGAATTACTTTTTTCAATTCCAATTACAGTAGCTCTTCTAAAAGCTCTCTTTTTGTGTTTAACGTAGCATTTTTTACAAAATTTAGCGAAAAATTGATAATTCGTTATTTATACTAACATTTTTATAATTAATAGTCTCTGTCATTAATTATTGGAGAGGTAAACTTTGAGATAGAAGCAATGTTTTAAAAGCCGGACCGGAAGTCGAACCGGAAAGATCAACGGGTTATGGTTCAATCGGTCGGATCGGTCGGACCGTTTGGTCAGACCGGTGATGCAATAATTAATTTAAAACAATATTATATACATATAATTAGTATATATGAAAAATATCAAATTATTAAATAATTTAGAAATGCATTTAAATAATCTAAAATTATAATGAAATCATTGAAAATGGACTAAAACCTTATATATTTAAATTTATGTATGTTTAAAATATTTAATGATATTACAAATTATCAATTCATTCAAATCAAAATATTTTTTTAAACGATAGACCAAATATCAAAACAAAAAGACTAGCGACTCACATTTTAACACCACAATATATGAAATTTTCAATGAAATAATACTCTATTGTTATAAATAGTCTAAAAATATATTAGGATATTTAAGGGGATCAATTTTTTTATTTTTCTTCTATTTTTTTAAATTTTTAGTATTTTTTCAGTCAGGCTAAAAAACCGTCCGATTTTCTGAAAACCGTTCTGGTTCCCGGTCCAACTCCGGTTTCCGGCTCAATTACGGCTCAACTCCGGTCCAATCCGGCTCAACTATATGAACGGTTTTTTGGTCCAAATCGAGCCGTTAACGAGTCCGGGTCACGGTTCAACCGGTTCGACCGTCCGGTCCGGTCCGGTTCTTAAAACATTGGATAGAAGTTATTAAAAGGCATTTTTGAAATATTACAGTAACTTATATGTATATATATTTGATAATATAGAGGGCTTAGCCTAAACTCAGAAATTACAAGGTGGGGATGGAGATCCAAACTATCTTCACGAACAAGGATCCGCAGTGAATCTGGGACCGTGTTTAAGAAAATAAAGACATGCTTGTCATTGAAGCCTCTCTTTGCAATTCTATGGGCAACTCTATTTGCCTCTCTAGGTATATAATGGGATTCCAGTTATTGCTTCTCACGTTGCTTATCAATTTCGAAACTGAAGATACACATGTCAGATCTGGATGATGGTGGTTAAATCTATCAATCAACTCCTTTGAATCAAACTCTATAATAATCTTACGGAAGCCAAGGTCCCATGTTGTCCTCATTCCCATCAAAATCGCCCATTTCTCAGCTTCTATAGCAGCACGTATTCCCAAAAATATGGAGAAGCCCGCAACCCATTTCCCATTGGTATTTCTCATGACCCCTCCACAAGCGGCTTTTTTTTTTTTGCCAATAATAATTCATTCCATAATAAATCAACAGTACAAAGTCATGTAGAACACCATCAAGCAATAAATATCACCCTACATTAGTTTTGGCTTTGCATAAATCAGATTCTATAAGTTTACGCAAAAGAGGTGGCGGTCTCATTACCCAATCAGTCGGGCAAGACCCAGCCAAAGAGGCTCTAGCTACCCAATCAGCAACAGAATTTGCCTCTTTCGGGATCCAGCTACACGAGTGGCTCCTTAGACGATTCCTTGAGAATTGTAGATTCTCAAGGATAACATAGTTCCTCCAACCTGGACTAGGGGCATTGTTGTTCAAGCAGTTAATCAGATTTTGGTTGTCTGATTCGAATATCACCTCATCAAGGTCATTCTCATATGCATAATTCATTGCCAACTGTAGTGCAGCACCTTTAGCCATCAAACTTGAATCAGCAGCAATTATTCTAGAAGCTCCATCTAACACCCATCCATTAGAATCACGGACAACAAAAGCTATAGCAGCAATAGCTTCATCTGGTGTTAGTGCACAGTCCACATTAATTTTGAGAGCATTATCATGTGGCAAACTCCAGTTTGCTTTGTCTTCACTCTTCTTTTCAGCCCCCTCATTAATAGCATCCGTAGCATTATTCCAGCCTTTAGCAGTCCAGTATTCCTGAATCAACTCCTCTGCTTGTTTAAAGGTAAAGACAGGATCAATGGTGACATTTTGATATAAGAACCTGTTTCTGCTCTTCCATATTGACCAGAGAGTAGAGGCCAGGACAGCCTTTTGCCAATGAGACAGTTGCAGATAGCAGAGGCAATGATTAAACCAGTCAGCAAAGTCCACTGGAGTATAAGCATCAAAATTAAAAGTAAAGAGGCTTCCAAACCAGGTTAATTTCACCCAATCACATTCAAAAAATAAGTGCTTCAACGACTCACTTTTCTCCTTACAAATAAGGCATAAATCCGACACACTGGCTTTCTTTTTGCATAAATTTTCAAAGGTTGGAATAGCATTTTGCATCACCCTCCAAAGAAAATTTTTAATTTTGCTGGGTACCTTCAACTTCCATAATTCTTTCCATAAATTCTTTAAAGGATTGTTAGAAGGACCCTGTACATTACGCATAAGATGGGAGCCATTCACTTTTGCGATCTTGTAACCTTCCTTTACCACATAATTGCACCTTTTCCCCGCGGTCCACAACCATTTATCATCTCTATTAGAAGAGCTTATAACAGTATTTAGGATGGCTCTTTTTTCAAAATCAGAAATGTAATTTTCAATGAGAGAAAGATTCCAACCATTAGGAGATAATAATTCAGCCACTGTAAGGTTTCTCATATGTTCCAAAGGGCAAACAGAGAGAAGTTTCTTACCCGGAATATCAGCCAGCCAATGATCACCCCAGATACGGGTCCCACGTCCATTTCCTATGCTCTTGCACACATTACCATTCAGCACCTTTCGGCCTTCAAAAGAATTCCACCAAAAGGCAGATATGATTTGGTCTAGCTTATTAAAGACCCTTTTTGGGAATAAAAAACAAGACATAGGATAAACAGGAATTGAATTTGCAACTGATTTAATGAGTACCTCTCTTCCTGCCTCTGATAGAAATTTTTTCTGCCAACCCATAATTCTCTTCTTCACTTTATCAGTGACAAAATTAAGCGCCTGGGTTTTTGATTTCCCCAAACAATTGGCAGTCCCAAATAGTTTCCCGGAATGTCAACCAAAGGAATCTGAAAAATGTGACCAATCTCTTCCTTTAGCAAGAAGGAGTATTAGCAGTGAAGTATAAACAGGATTTATTGACATTTATAAGTTGGCCAGAAGCACAACAGTAAATATCAAAAATGTGTTTCAGTTCTCTGCACATGTCAACATCAGCTTGAATAAAGAAGACTGAGTCATCAGCAAACAGACTATGTGTCACCCTAGGACCTCGCCTGGAGACTCTTACTCCCTGAATAACACCAAGTCGTTCTTTTTGTTCAATAAGTTTAGAGAGTACATTTGAAACAATAATGAAGAGGTAGGGAGATAAGGGATCTCCCTATCTTAAACCTCTTTGAGGGAGGACTTGAGAAATTCTTTTTCCAGCATGCATGATAGAGAAATTTACATAGTTGATACACCACATGATTCTATCCACCCATGCTCTAGAGAAACCAAGTTTCAATAAGAGGGCTTGTAGAAAATCCCACTCAATCCTATCATATGCTTTATTCATATCTAATTTCAGAGCCACTTCACAAGTGCCAGTCTTTTTTGATTTCATATGATGGAATATTTCATGCACAATAATGATATTATCCTAAATAAGTCTTCCTGGAACAAAAGCTCTTTGGTTTTGAGCAATGAGCTTGTCCATGAGAGGCTTTAGTCTATTTGAGATGACTTTTGAAAAAACCTTGTAAGAGAAGTTACATAAGCTTATGGGTCTGTAATCATTTACAGTTTCAGGGCATTCTACTTTTGGGATCAAGATTAAATCAGTGTTATTTAAATCATGGAGCATGAAACCATAATTGAAAAACTTTCTGATGAGAGAACAAACCTGGTTTCCCACAATATCCCAGCATCTTTGATAGAAGACTCCAGTGAACTAGAGGACAAATGAACTGCTCCATCAACATTACATTTTAGCCAGCTCTCATCAGGCTTTTTCCATTTGTCAGTCAAAGAAATCATGCTACTGATGCTGGTGGGTTGAGCTGTTTGAAAAATGTAATTCTTGTATGAATTAATAACCAGCATACAGAGAAAGCTTTCATGTTTTAAAAGTACTTTTTATAGTTTACTAAGTAAATCTATAGAAGAATTTATCTCGTTTTATAAGAAAATATTTTTTAAAAATATTTTTGAGGGTTGTTAAACAGCCCACTAATATATAAAGCTCTCTCTGTATGCTGGTTAAATTTTGGACTTCTTTGTTGCTTGCTGCTATTGATTGCCGGGCGTTACAGTTGCCTATCCTGATACGTTACAGTCAGGGGCTCTTCTTTTGTTTTCACTTATCTCGATATGTGACCTGCTGAAGCATTTTTCTAACGATTCGTTTTATCTAATTATTAATAAAATTGTCTTTAAAAAAAACCCAAAATAAGAGCTTCTGACGACTTCCTCGTAATAATTATGAAGTGTTTTTTAAAAAGACATTTTTAATTCATAATATAAGGTGTTACTTTCAAGTCCTAACAATTTTATATAAGGCACTTTCAATTTTTTTTTTTTTACCTAAATCAATGAGAGACTAGAAACTCATTAACTAATTAACCACTCCATCAAAAGTTTAAAAAAAAAAATTGGCCTTATTTAAATCCATAATGTACTTTTGATAGAATTTTAAAGAAGGATAATAAGAAAAATAGGAGAAAAATATCATTTATTAGTATATGGTGCCTTATAAAGAATGGCAGCAAATTTATCTCCCAAATGCTTTATAAAAATGATTGGAGGGGTATATAATGTTGTCCAATAGTCTCCTAGTTTTACGTTTAAAATTGTAGTGAAGATTTTATAAACTGTCTCATAAGAAAAGGTAAAAAGAAAATTATGATGTTTACATTCTTTTTTATTTATAAAGGTAAATATTTTTTTTTCAAATTTTCATGAATTTAGTAATGTTAATAATTTTTTCTCGAGATGTGTGAAATAGCTAGAAATACTTGCTTCATATTTACTGCAGAGGGAGTACTTGTTTTTTGCCACTGGGTAAAATTGTTGTTAAAAAACACGCGTAGGAATTATATGTTACTCTCTCTGATTTTATATACAAGTAATAATTTCTCACATGAAATTGGTCCTACATATAAGCGAGATTATGCCTTCCCCAATTTTTCATTTTTATCTCCAATTAATTACACGCATTCTAATTTTTTACCACTTGTTCGCTTTCATTCCTTTTCTTATTTATTCCTTCTCACTTGTCATACTTTTTTTTTATACATAAAAACAATTAAAACGCATTAATTATAGGGGGACAAACAATACGAGAGTAAAACTAGGTACAAGAAGTAAAAAGACAAGAGCTAAGAAATAAAATTAATAGAAAATTGCAACAAGCTCTCATATAAGAGAATTAAATACAAAAAAATCTCTTAAAATTATTAAATTATTCTGAAATTTCAAGAGACCTTATTGCAAGAGAATTTATTTGTTTAATTATCAAATTACCCTTTTTTTAAGTTTATGTTGACAATTGGAAGAACAGTCATTAATAACTTAAGATGTAAGGATTGACAACTACTCCTTCGATCCTTAATATAAGACTCATTTAACTAATTTGATTAAATTAAGAAAGTTAGGTAAGTTAGTTAACAATAAGAAATGTGACATGGTTTTCCTAAAATACCATAATCATCTTTCTTAATAACCCTTCTTCCTCTTCTACTTGATTATGGTTGAGGGAGTATCCATAGGGGTAATTTAGAGAAAATTGATAAATATGAGAAATGGGTCTTATATTTAGGACCAAAACTAACTCAACAATTGAGTCCTATATTAAGGACCGGAGGAGTATCACGACAGATATTGACAACTCATGCATTACATTTGATGATGTGTTGAGAAAATGTGTTATCAATACTTGCGGCAATAGTTGTCAATCCTTATACCTTTAAGTTATTAACTATTACTTTTTCAGTTACCAATGCAAACTTACAAAAAAAAACAATTTGACAATTAAACAAATAAAATTTATTGTAATGAAGTCCTTTAATACTTCAAAATAATTTGATGATTTTAAGTGATTTTTTTGTATTTAATTTCATTGGATGGAATCCAATTGCAATTTTTCTTAAAATTAACTTAGGATCCGGAAAAGAAATTATCTACACACAGATAAAAGTACAAAAAAGGAAAGAAAGTTAACAACATGTTATTGGAAGAGTTTGCAACAGCTCCCTGCACTATTGGTAATGCAAAATACTTGTAGCTTTTCTTTATTATTCACTGACAAAAATAATGACCTACACATCCGAACAAGGTTATCACCTGTCATACTATCGGTGAGTATATATTTAAAAAGGAAAATTATATTTTTGATATTCTAATTTACGAGCTAGTGACTGTAAAACCACTACCATAACATTGGCCGGTGTCTCACCGACCCTTGTTCTGTGCTCTTGTCATTTCTTTTCTTTTGATAATGTTGTCGGTGATTAGGATGTCGGCGGCCTCCTTCTCCTGCCTCCCATGAAATATTCACCCTTCATTTAAGTTTTTTAAGGCGGCTGGCTTTCATATTTTAGGCACACCGTGACAAAACCAATAATCCTGTCACCTTCGTTCACCGAAAGCACGTTCCGGTTGTAGCCGCGCATGGTATCTACTCATTTTATGTGGACTTCGTTTTCACTTTGACCTGTGGTACTTGCACAAACCCAAGGCCACTCTCCCACTTCCCTTGTCCCCGCCATCTTTTCGTCCTTTTCATGTACTTGTCTCTTTCTGAGTTCTGAGTATAGAGAAATAAAAAAAAAAAGAGTTTATTTATGAAAGTTAATAACTCATTTTTTTGGCCAGAAGCAAATCAGTTTTATTGATATCAAGAACACATTACAGACATCGATCAGCAAAGCCATCAAAGTAAAAACACAGTCATGGCCTGCAAATACAACCTACACACAACCTTACCCAAACTATAAAACTAAAAAAACACTAAAGAACCAGACCCTCACAAGTAACATGAAAGCAAATCCTATCCTAGCAGCCACCATCAACAACATTAGCCAGTCCTACGCCTGTTAATTAGCACTAACCATGTCACAGCCAGCTCCAGTCAATGCCATGCTTCCTCCTACGTTAACATCGCTCCCCAAAATCCAATCTGCTGCCAAAACCTCGAAAGAACCAGTAAGATATGAGTAGACATCAGAATAACAGAGAGGCTTAAAATCAACTTAGCACTGGTGTCTGGATTGCAGATAAAAGCACTTTTAGAAAGTGCTTTTACAAGACAAAATTTTTCTATATACTTATTTTATATACCGTAAAATTACTTTTAAAATTATGGTTTGATTGTTATTCGAACACCTAAAAACATTCTATTGCACAGTCAGGGAAAAACTCTTAACATCACAGTACTTGGATGTCTCTTTTTTTCAATCAATAACTTTTGTATTTTGTATACAAGATCAATGATGTCATTGTCTTGCAATGTCATGTATACAAAGACACGAAGTATGGTCACCCTTGACTATATATGATATTGGAGCCAATATAATGTCAAGATCTACACATTGCATCTAACATCTTAATCAATAATAATTCAGCTGAAAATTGCAATTAATTGGGTAAAATAATCTCTCACCCCAGGGCCATACAAAACGCACACGAATTATCGACTTTCTTTGTCATTCTCCATCACCTTATTCTAATTATTTATTCTGGTTCTTATTATAAAATATCTAATATGCTTCATAACACAACATATCTTGTTTAGTATGTTAACTTTTTTTAACTTAGTATCCCTAATTAATTATAGATTTTTGTAATTTTCTTAACTAACAACTTTTATTAAGAATATTTTTAATATTTTACAATAATAACTAATTTTAATCTATTATCACAAGAATTAAATAATTTTAATTTATCACAAGAAACAAACCATAGGATAGAAAGACATCCTATGAAGAGTTTGCAACATTAGATACTCTTTTTGGGCTCTAATCAAATACAAAAAGGCTTTTGTTTTAATCTTAAATATATAAAAGTCATAATTCTTTTTGTTCTCAAATTTATTTTTTTAACTGTTCTTATTGATCATACATATTATCAAGTTTTTATTAAAGGACAATTTCAATACAAACCATTAAAGAAGGTAATCTAAGAAAAATAACATACATTTTTTTATAAATAATTAATTTGATTATACTTTTAATATCAGTAAATTAATTATCCAGATGTTATACCAAAGACAAAGATACACTTAAAAACGAGAGTAATAGAGTAACACGGGGATATTAAAAACCTGAATCATGATATCATCAACTATATTCTTTTCAGTGAATGAACATTCAATTAGAAGTCAGCATCAATCATCCAATCAGATGTAATTAACTAATTATCATCGTGCTTGTGATTTGCGTTGTGCTCAATGCTCATACCCACGCACGCAACTTGTTCCGCCTTGATTGCCTTTGTCAAAATAATTATTTACTGAAAAAATAAATCTTCCCTTTAATTCATGATATGTGCTTTCGGCCAACCTACCAGCTATATAGCGTGAAAGTTAGGTAAGACATGAATTACGAATTCGTTGCCAGAAAGGAAATAATGCGGCTGGGAACAGTTTTTATTTTTTATTTTTCCTTTGGAAAAAAAAAAAATAGCCGGGTATACCGGTCGGTACAATCTGTTGACAGTAAAGATGGACAAACAAGAAACGGATAAATCGAATTAGTGATGAATCATTAGAGAAATAGATGAACCATATTTCTAATAAAAAATTAATAATTTTTACATGTTTGTGTTCTGTTTATTTGTTTTACTCCTTTTAGTAAAACGCCAACCTTAGATTTACTCACCATTAATAAAAAAATCTTGGGCTGATCTTACGCATATGCCTAGATGAGGCAAAATTTGAAGTACAGTGGCCGTTGTGGCAGTTAGGCCTCTTTAAAAATGGCGCGTGAATGGTTTTCGAGCAAAGTCCATCAGACGTGAGCCTCAAATTCAATAAACAAACGTGTGGGTCTGTGCGATGTTTCCAGTGATGAGGAACAGCCAGAATTGTGAATTTTTAGTTTTTTTATTTATTATTTTAATTTATTTTCTGTGAGTTGGTTTTTTGCGGTGATCTCGTTGCGGGAAAACGTGATTCATAAATTGAAGAAAGTAAGAGAAGGGGAGAGAGGGGTGAGTTCTTCGATAACTTAATTACCGTCATAAACCCTCTCGCCGCGCTCTTCCTCTCTCGTGCATCACAACGTTATCTGGATTTCTGGTTCATCAGTCGTCGGAAGAAAATACGTCGTCGTTTTCGAGTGCCGTGGCATTGAGGGGAAAGCGCGATCTCGGGGGTGACCGGGTGACTTGTGGGGGCCGTAGTTTTGCTTTCTTAAATCTAATCTTTCACCGTCATTGCCCCCTTCTATTCTCTCCAAACACAGAGGAACGCTTCAAACAAGGTACTTGATTGATCTCTCGGTGTTTCCTTCCGCCATTTGATATTGATTTATTCAATTCGGAATCGTTACCTGCCCGGCAATACTCATTTTGATTTGAATGCGATTGTGGATACAGAATCCCTTTCTAAAATTAGATGATTCAATTGAATTCCTCTTACTGGAATTTCCAATCTTTCATAATCAGACCGATAAGAATATTAGATCCATTTTCTGGCCTCAGTAGAATTTTGAGATGGTATATCATGAATATAAATCTTGATAAGAAATATTGACTTGCACAGGGGCAGCGTGAACGAAGCCATGCTGTTGTTTTCGTCATATACACGAGCTGAGACATGCTAATGAAAACGAATCGTCGTTAGAAATATATTTAAACTGCATTATCTCCGTCTGGCTCTGCTGCAAAAGTTAAATAATTTAATTTCTTTCAATTTTGATCCTTGGTGTCAACAGGGCTATTATGTTTTATCATCTTTTGGGAAGAGGTAGAGAGGAAGTTGAGAAAGGACGAATTTTTGTAACTTCATCAGATATTATACATGTGTTGAAAGAGGATTAAATTAAATTTCTTGAGTTTCAAAACACGATGTGCGCTAGGATTTCTCGGTTGTAATTTTCTTGTTTGATCTCCGTAAATCTTATCAATTCTGTCTTGTATTTGGGGGACTGGATCGTGAAATTGTATGAAGTATTACGTCCCATCATCGATGACTTAATCTGGACTTATTTGTGCGGCTGTGCAGGTTAAATTGAAGACGTGATGGCTGATACCAAGAAATTTGTTCCTCTTCCACCTCCTTATCCCCATCCAGCAGTAGCCAGTTGTTCTTGCAAGGACTTGGTTATGAAAAATTCACCATCAAGAGGACGTAGTTATGTTTCTGTAGCAACAATAGATTTGTGGGAGCGTCTTTTTGACGAAGGTTATAAAGCAGATGTTTTCATTAATACTGATAATGGTGGCATTATTTACGCGCATTCTTATATTCTTGTAAGTTCATTCATTCCAATCTGTGTTGCACTAAGATGATGTTCCATTTAATATTTGCTCCGGCCTTGTAATTTATTTGATAACACACATATTCTTGGGGAGGGATGTCAAACTAGTTCAATGCCCCATTTTTTGGCCCAAAAAAAGGATATCAGAAATAAACACGATTACAAGATTTTCATGGTCAGTATGGCATATAGAAGCCTTTTTATATTGAGATGTGAATATCACTCACTTCATACCATATGCACAGGCCATGGCTTCTCCAGTAATGAGAGGCATGCTTAAACGAGCAACACGTCATCGTCATATGAAATCAATCCCGATTTCTGGGGTTCCACATGGCGCTGTTCGAGCTTTCCTTCGATTTTTGTATAGTTCCTGGTATGTATGATCCTTCTGTCAATCTCAAATTTTCAGAATAAGCTAGGATGGAAAATTAGAAATAATCCACACTGGCCCAACTTTGGGATAGGGGCCTGCGGAAACCTTTCTTCTTTGGCCATCCTCCGCAAACTATTTGTTCTAATCAGACACTCCTAATTTTTTGATTGATACGGTCAAGTCTTTCTTCTATCCACTTCCACATGATAATACCATTCATCAAATACTTGATGAATATGACAATTAGTAGGGGCTTGTCGCCAGTAAAGGGAGATGGAATTCCTAAGAAAGATAAGTGAACAAGGCAGAGTAACTAGAAAAGAAGAGGAGGTAATTGAACCCATCGTAATTAAGGGGCAGGAAGCCATGATTGCTGACCCAAGTTAGGGAGTTACTGGGGAATGTCATTTTAATTGACCTGCATTTTAGTAGTTACGATAACGTCTATGAACAAAATCACTTTCATTGACTCGTTGACATAATTCTATATATGCTATTACCGTCATACATCATTGACATGGATAAATTTACCGAGCTTCTATGGGCTATTGTCTTGTAGTTACGATAAAGAAGAAATGAGGGAATTCGTGTTACATCTGTTGGTGCTGTCACATGTATTTGCGGTTCCCCACTTGAAGCGTGAATGTGAACAGAAGCTAGAAGCGGATTTCCTCACAATCGACAATATAGTTGATGTGTTTCAACTTGCATTACTATGTGATGCTCCCCGCCTTAGCCTCATTTGTCACCGTCGCATCCTTCAAAATTTTAAAGCAGTTTCCGAGTCCGAAGGGTGGAAGGCCATGAAAGAGAGCCATCCGACTCTAGAGAAGGAACTTCTGGAATCTCTTATCGAGGAAGAAAATGTAAGGCTCTCAGTTTTTTTCCTTTTTTCTTTTTTAATTGTTGTTTCCCATCATCTCAACTTGCAAAATGGAAAATCGTGTAGTTACTTTTCTAAAAGCTTTTAAATGAACTGGTTGATTATTAGAGCACAAAGGAGAGGATCAGAAAAATAAATGAGAAGAAAATTTATCTTCAATTATACGAGGCAATGGAAGCTCTGGTTCACATATATAGAGATGGGTGTCGAACCATTGGCCCACACGATAAAGACTTCAAAGAAAACCAAGCACCATGTAGTTTTGCAGCCTGCAAGAGCTTAGAATTGCTTGTCCGTCATTTTGCTGGGTGCAAGTTGAGAGTCCCTGGTGGTTGCAATCATTGCAAGAGGATGTGGCAGCTTTTGGAGTTGCACTCTCGAATATGTGCCGATCCAGACAACTGTAGGGTTCCTTTATGCAGGTAATAAATATACACTGCCCCTCTGAACCAGAGAGATTTTACTTGATTATGCAGCTCAAATATTCAATTAATTTTTGATGAATCCTGTCATTTCAGGAACTTTAAGGAGAGAATATCAAAACAAAGTAAGAAAGATGAAGTTAGGTGGAGAATACTGGTAGAAAAGATCTCGAGAACTAAGGGCATTGCGGTGGCACCATTCTTTCAAAAGCAATGACCGCGAGTTTTGTGGAAGCAAAGACGCAGTTGGTATAGAACCTTACTCAGGAGTCAGGTTGTAAATTTGATGTTTGTCCCGTTCTTGGGTTAGGAGAATCCTCCTAAGAGGTTTTTTAGTGTACCTCTTTCTGTATCTCAAATTCTCAATAAAATTTATGATGCAGAGAAGCACTTCGTCCCAGCATTTCTCTGTTTTTCATCTGTTGTCGTCGAACTCCTTTTGAGGATGGAACAAACTTTTGTAATTACTTAGTTATTTAATAAGACTAATAATTTGTGATTATCTCAAATAAAATCATTCAAATAGTAATGTCATAGTATTTATACTCATATCCATATGATATGCTTTTACTTGGAAAAAAAAAAAAGAAAAGAAAAAGCAAGTAGGCCTAACAACAACTGAATCTGACACTCAACTTGAGCTCCGATGAGCTGTGCGCCTGTGATTTAGGTTGCTGGATACCAAGCAGATATCGACCTTGCTGAGTCACACAGAAATAACCAATGTAAACTCATACTTCAAGCCTCGTTAATGATATCCAAAGTCCCAATCTGAAAAAATGCCGAACTAGTCCCTATCTGGCATTTTGCATCAAGCCTTTAGGGCTGCCTTGCTGCATGGGTTATTAGCAATGACTATGACATCACCCCCAGTTTGACCAATCTCAAGATCATGAACTGTAAATATTGTGATTCCAGTTCCATGCCAATGCTGGGTTAGTATTTAATGATGCTGTCTTAGTCATTCAGCGATAATCTGTGTCATAATTTCACTATCAAACATCAGTCCCATAGCTGGAAGCACATGAGGTCGTTATGATCGCAACAGGAATCAGGTAAACAGGCTCCGTCTTTCACGGTGTCCCTGCTTTTCTTGTTCGACTGTCCATTATGTTTCTGTGACGACTCAAGATTTATTAACGTCGCTCATATCTCAATTATAGTTTTTGACTTTTTCCCCTCCCCAATTGTAACGGCACCCTCAAATTCGTGTTTTGGCGACCCCACCTTACTTTTATTTTTCTTCTGGGCTTACAAAAGAAGGCGCAGCAGAGACTTCAAACTTTAGGTACGGATATAATTTAACGTCAGTCGCCTCTTATTATTCTTCAAGACAGTGGTAAATGGCAGGTCAAAAAAAAAAAAAAGATAGTAGTAAATGTCTTCATTAGAACTCGACTTGTAATAAATACTAACACCATAATTTCTTTTCTTTTCCAAATAACTCTTGCATAATATTTAGAGCGTAGTCAAATCATAATACTATTTTCAGTCGTTATTATAAGATCTTGTTTATAAACTACAAATAAGGTCTTATAATTAAAACAGGAGGTAGTATTATATTAAAAAAAAAAATTGTTACGGTTCTTGTGCCATTTCTTTCCTCATTATTCATCCAGCTGATTTGGGTTGACTGAATTCCATCTCATTCCTTCTCTTGGCCCCGGGGGGGGGGGACAAAAGAAAAGGCAAAACGTCTTTTTATCATTTTGTTTTTATACAACGGAAGGAGATTTTTCTACATCATTTTAAATGTTTCTTAAGTTACTGTCTGTGTATGACTCGTTTTTTAATTTGCTCTCTTTTTTTGTTTTTTTTGGCAATTAACTCCTCTATGAAATTGCACACCGCAGCCCATACTATTTATGAGTTATGAAAACAATTAAACATAGCTTATTTCTCAAAATTTGTTAAATTTAACCCATCTTAGTTACTTTTTTTTTTTTTTAAGCACAGGTACCTGTTGGCGTTAAGACATCTCTTTTAGTGAAAATTTTAAATCTTGATTCATTGTGTTTTTAGTAATGAACCTTGCTTTGTTTCTGATAATTCTAGTTCAGTGGGTTTACTTTCGGTACGTAACTGGTGAACTCTGCTTCCTTTTAAGGCATTTTGTCTTTGGTTTTAAACCAAAAAAAAAAAAAAGAATACAAGGTTCATTATTCCCTTTATGGGCCACAGAAATATTGGATACCAAGTGGGAGGGCATTTCACAGCCCAAATCAAAACTGGTGGCCCAGTTGATAATACTACCTCTAGTCATAAATATAAGAGCTAGTTAATTAGTTTAAGTAAATAAAAAAAAAGTCAAGTTAGTTATTTATAACAAATATATATTTTTTTAAATATCTTTATTAATTAAGTTTATTGGTTAAAATTATCATTATTAAAAAGATTATATTAAAATAAATAAATAAATATGAAAAATCTTATATTTAACATCAAAATAAAAATCAAATAAAATTATATTAAGAATCAAACGCTAGTCTAATCTAACGAACTAACTGTAATATTTGGGGTTAAAAGTTACAAATCGGACAAAGTTTCCAATAAAAATAACGGCAGAGGCGTGCGGATGGATACAGTGGCAGAGCAGTCGTTTGAGGTCACGGGTTTCGGCGTCTTCACTGTGAAGGAGTGGATAACAGATTTATTTATCACGAAGAAAATGCTGACCAGATTTGGGTTTAAGCAAACAAAAGAAGAACGAAAGATGACATTCTGATTATTCATTGGGCAATTTCGCAGGTAATTTCCCATAAAAGCAAGCAGCCATTGCCGCTTTCATACATCAGACATCATGGAAATGGCGTTCTTAGTCTCGCATTCCTTCGGTATGTTTTCCCTTCTCAAAACTTATTTCATCTACCAGCAGTGCAGTTTTTCTTTCATCTTTATATTTGAGAACTATTGCATTTGGTAGAGGATGTGTCACGGAACCTTTTCTTAGTGGCATTTTTACAAGTGGTTAGAGGTCGTCACCTTCGGTTTCAGTGTCCTGTCAAATTAAACGCTCAGTTGATCTAAATGCTAGGCATGGTCGCATTTGCATGGACACAGTAAATGCTTACAAAATTGCTATTATTGCAAATAATTGATTTGAAAATTGCACATAAGAGCCTCTTAGGTAAAGCCGAAACAGTCTGCAACATGGAAAATGTGTGGGATTCTAATCTAATCAAAACCATAGTTTGTGTGTTGTTTGGAAGGAGGAAAAAGATCCGTCTCTTTCACCTGCTATTCGGAAATTCAATCCTGCCTCAGATGTTGGTGAGCGAGCATATAAGTGATTATGGACCTTTGACACCCTTTTCTGGTAACCAAGGGATCCTTTAAACTGTTTGTTCTCTTCCCAACATGCTTTGAACCGATTTATGTTCAATCTCAAGGATCCATGTACTCGACATTTTCATGGACAAAGCTTTCTTTGCTCTCTCCTACTCATGGAATATGGAATCTCCTGGCATTGAAAAGACTTTTCTTAAAGTTTCTATACTGAATGAATCTAATCCGTGAATGGAGGCAATTACGGCTTCGAGAACATTTGTTGACTTTCAATTCTGTCCTGAAAAATTGCTCTGCGTTCACAACGCTAGGGTGACGAGCTTTCTTCATCGGAACTTCTATCTTGTCTCGCATTGTACCTGTTTAGAACTGGTAATGATGCACTTGCAGCTATCCGGAAGGATCTGGAAGAGCCTATGACGGTTCTATCCTGCTGCATCCTCCCCACTTCTTTGCACACCTGGTCCAAGATATTTAGGAAATCCCTAACAATCATAAAGATTCTGAAAGGATGGGCTTCCTCCTTGGCTGCGTCCCCGTGAAAGTATTCTGTAACTTCTTTCACAAGAATTAAGACCTTTCGTTCATCAGCTTTAATTCTAACGATTTCCTCTTCAGCATTTTGCAGAAATAGCTTCGTGGAGTGGAAGAAATTCCCTTGCATATCTGGCTTCTCATGTTGCAAAGCCACTCTCACTTTATCAAGACCCTTTTCAAGTTTTGAGACGTAGCTGCTCAAGACATCAGAATCCATTCCTGCCGCTTTTTTGACATTGCTGAGGTCCCTCCCAAGCCCGGCCACAACCTGCAATCCTTGCTTCCTGAAGTCGTCCTCACTGAATTTGGAATTCACTTGGTTCTGAACACTTCCATTTGCAGAATCACCTTTTGCACCTTCAGATCTAATGATCTCTTGGACCACGAAGTGAAGCAATGTAGTCTTTCCATCTGTTCCCTTTATGTCCGCAAGTTTCAAGAGTGTGTCCAGCTTAAAAGCTTTAGCATCACCTCGGTTGGTGCCCACATTCATTCGGTTTCCTGTCCTGAGAACAGCTTCAAGAAGTTTGAGGAACAACCTGCTATTTTTCAATTCCTCACTTGCTACCTGAGAAATATTGACAACTGAGTAACTAGTTTCTTGGGAGTCAAGAGTAAATATATTGGAGAGACAAGACATGAAGATGCAAGAAATTGATTTCAGCTATTAATACCTCGAGGGTTTGAAAAGACTTCCTCAGGTAATTAACTTCTGCATCAAAGTTGGCTCTGTATAGCATGGCTTCAACTCTCTTGAAGGCAAAAGGGATATCAAGCACTTGTTTAAGAAATCTTTCAGCTGACCCTAGTTTTGAGAGGTCACCACCGCAGTTTTTAAGTTTTATTTCTTCCTCCTTAGTGGGAGCCATTTTCACTAAAGTTTCCAAAAGTTCCGCACCCAACGCTTCAGGATTCCCTGCATTAATAAAATCAACACCACCCATGATGTTTGCCAAGTGACTAATTAGTTGAAAGCAAAAACAAACAATTGATAGTCAGGGAAATCAAAGTTCAGGTAAACAAGAGAAAAGTGCATTATAAAATATTCAGATGAGGAGTAGATATTTGGGCTTTGTTCCATATTTCTTGTAGATGAAGAAAAATCAAACTAGATGAAATTCCCAGTCACATACCCCTTGCTTTTGCTCCTCCTCTAAAATGAGATAGTGATAAACAAGGCATGATGCCTCTTGAACATTTTTATATATACTTGAAACGTAACAAAGAGCCATTCGGTTTGAGTAATTGAACAGGGCATTATCATTTTTGTACATGACATATCTTTGCTTTTGTTTTTACGCAGTTGATAGAAAGTGCTATAGGTGGCTTATGTGCCCAATACCCCCAATTTTGCTATGCGCATAGCTGCCCATTATCTATTGTTTTAAATGTATTTTAGATGTCGTATTTTCTGCTTAGGATATAGGAGGGATCAATATGCATGTTTTCGCTTAGAATGCACATGCCAACCAATCACATAGAGGCCATGAGGGTTCTAGAGAGTTAAGAAGCCGTTATATCGGTTCTTGGCCATGGGGAGCCCTATCACTATGCAATCATGAACTACTCAATTCCACATGCTTTAAGCACACTGGAAATTTTGGCTTTTTCCTCTATCGTGCAAGCGAAGTCTGAAGTCTGACTGCTGGCTATAAATAGAAAAGAATGAATTAACTAACTTACCATCCAGAAGGGCGTCAGACACCTCATCTCTTGTCACATTCAGTGCCCTAAGTAGTATAGCTATGTTTTGAGACTTCTTTGGGTCCAGCACTCTGTTCTCCTGTTCAACGGGTGGAAGAACTGATCTTCGAATGGGCTCTTTAGGGGCGGGGTTTTTGGAATTGCAGCCAAATAAGGTTTCCATCATGTCCTCATTTAATCTACAAAACAACCGAATGTTAGTTCATCACTACCCCTACACCAACTACTCCAAAATTGTCGTAACCCATAGTTTTACACTTTTGCTTACTGAAATGAGCTTGATTTTAGTTGGTCCCACACTGTAGCGCGGTCTGAAGTCGCGCGCACTTTATCCCAATGTAGAGCCTTTAACTTGGGTTTTGCTCCTTCCGTGTCATCGGCTTCAAGCCTCCCAGAAGAGCCGAGACTTTTATCACCATTTTCTGAAGATTTTGTTACACTATTCGCAGAACTGGCTCCTTGGTTTGGAGAGCAAGATTGTTGGAGCCTTGTTGCAGAGGATGAGAAAACGCTGGCCGCTGGAGACCCTGCTTTCCCAGGCGCCAATTGCCGTGGTGGAGGCGGCGGCGGCGGTGGAGGAGGCGGAGCAGGAGGAGGAGCAGGAGGATGGAGGGAAGTCCTAGATATGTTCTGGGGTTTGTTGTTAGTTGACTGAAGACGCGTCAGATTAGGCGCCGGCGGAGGCGCTGAGAATTTCGGCTTTCTGGAATGACCGTTAGTCACTTCTTTGTCTAGATGCTGATACGGCTGTGAAAGTGTTGGTACCTGTGGGGGCGGAGCAGGCGCCGTCACAGGCGGAGCCTGCTTAATTGGTGGGATCATGACTTGCCTAATATCCGGCGATGAAGCCGCAAGCCGAGATTTCGGTGAAGTTCTCTTTGAATATGGGATTGAAGCAGCGGAATAGGTCTCATTCCTGAAAGAAGCCTGCTGGCCACCATTAGCCAGAGAACTATGACGCGAAACTGGGGTGTAATAGCTATCCTCGTAACTCAATGATGACCCCTGTGGAGAATGAAACACCGTCTCATGGCTCTCCTCGTCGTCGTCGGATGATGAAGACACCGCCGGTGGGTAATTCCCATCTGGAGGCTTACTCAACGTCGGCAATGGCTGCAATTCAGGACTGGGACGGTATCTTTCGGATCGCTTAATAGAATTGAGCTTGTGATAAGGAGACCTGTTTGCTCCATTGGTCTCACTCGCATCGGTCACTGACGTTCGGTTTGGTTCCACGGTCCCAATGTAGAGAAAGCTCGATGGTGGCAACCCTGGATCGTCAGGAATCCTCTGAGAATTCCCACCGACGAGCTTCTGGGTCTCGATTGGTTGCTTCACCCGATGCCTGTACAAGAAGAAGGCAAGAGCTGAGAGCATGCCAAGCGTGACAATTCCGACAGAGATTGCAATTGCGACCTTCTTTGTTGGCTTGGTTGGTTGTGTCGCTGTTGGGTTCGCAATTGTGCCATTGGGAATCGAAGGTGGTGACTGATTCTGATTTGGAGGTGACCCCGCGGGATCCTCATGAAAGAAGGGAATGTCGGTGTCGGGAGAAGGTGGAGTAGTGTAAGGTGGTGGTGGTGGAGTCGAGTCGGTGCCTGGCGGTGGAGCAGAAGTCGCCGGAAACAATGGCTGGTGCAGAATTCTTCTTGACTGAGATTCATTGACAGTGCGGAATTGGATGGTGTTGACCGCTTTTGCAGATGGGACGACGAGGAATGGAGACAATAATATGATAAAAAAGAAGCTCAAATGACGAGCTTTCATGGCGAATTATCCTGGGTTTCGCTTATGCCCTTTTCTCCCACCCAAGTCATCTCTAGTTTTGTGTTTTTGCTTCCCCAGCTCGGAAGGGGGGGCAGAGAGAGGGGGAGAGAGAGATGAAGAGAGAGAGGGAACTTCTTTTGGGTATAAGATCTGGATGGATGTTGAAACAGCTTTCGTCAGCAGAAGCCGCAGTTTTTTCTTTTCTTGTGTTTTATTTTTTACTCGGCTGGTTCCCTTGTGACATTATGAAACGTGATATTGCTACTTAAAATTCAGATTTACGGGGGAGTAAAGCAATAAATTCACGGTGAAAGGAATGAAACGTGGCAGTGACAGCGAACTTTGTTGTTTGCTTTTCGAGATGGAGAATCATTATTAGTAATAATGATTATATGTGACTTCACATATAATCACATATTAAAAATTGTATTAAATAATAATTATAATTAATGTATATTATTAGTAAGATTATTTTAAAAAAAATAATACTTATTTATTATAAATAATTAATTTAACAAATTTTTTAATTTATTTAAATTAGTTAAATAATTATTATATTAAGAGTCAAAAGTAGTATTAAACATATGCACTTGTTGGCCTAAAAAAAAAGTGAAAAACACAAGGGTTATTCATGTATATGAATATGATTTGTCCTTTATCGTCTATTCATGTATGTACATTTTCTCTTTCATGGGAACGAGGGCAAGGCACAAATTCTATCTTGATGCCGTTAAATCTGCGTCCACAGGCCACCCTCCGCTTTCCTACTTTTATCACTTAAAAAAAATCAAAAAGTTCATATTTTCAGCCAAAATAAATAAAATCAATTATTACTTTAACAAAAGTCATGAAGAAGGCAAATGAGGAACGGGGAATTCGCTACAAACCTGGCGATCCGAAGAATTAAAGGCAGCCATATAGGTTTGTCCACGTGGCAAGTTTGTGACAAAGCGTGTCTAGGTTTATGTTGTGTCTGTTTCGCGGAAGCGACGGTGGCTGGTTGTTCTATAACTGTTATCTGGGCGAAAGTGGTACTATGTGATGACTTAAAATTGTCGTATAAGATCACAACACTAAAGCTGATTAGGGTGTGGGCAGGTAAAATGCTGCCCGTCACACGCCCTTCCCTTGGAATGTGCTGTAAAACTGAACACAGTTTGGGGAATGCGAGGTCATAATAGTAAATTCCGGAAAAAGGGAGGCGGTATGTATGGGGATAGTGCTCGTTCCGCGTCTCACTGTTACTGTGGTGTGGGTTTTGTGTGGGACAAGCACACGCCCAAGCCCACTGTGTTTCCTCGCTTTCTTCTATCCCCTTCCTCCTTTTGTTTGGACGCCACTCCACCGCCATGCCGAAAAAGACCAAACTGTCCTTTTGCTTATTTGGCCCTCTCTCTTTTCCTTTATACTTGCCCTTTTTGCATCATTAAAGTTTATGCCTTTCGTCTAAACTATGCATTTTGCCACTTGTTGTCTCCCATGAAAATTACTTCTACCACTATCAACGTCTCTTTTTGATGTAAGTGAAAGGTAAGATGTGTTTTTTTTTTTTTTAAAAAACAAACAAGTGAATGATAATGAAATCGATATCAAGTTTACAGGTGCTCATGATTTGACTGTTCGACATCCAAACTGACGAAGAGATCAGAATGGAGGCATCAAGCAGAATAGGAAGCATATTTTTTTTTGGTTGAGTTCAATTATCACTTATTGACAGTAGTAACTAATCTCTTTACATCATGAGTTTTTTTGAAAAGATTTTAACATTGGCCATGAACACCAGATATCCAATCCCATTAGATACGGAGTGTATATTAACATGCCCATATATAGTAAAGGTTTCATTTCATCCTTCGGGAAAATGACTCCTGTCTGATTTCCCTGAAGGCATGTGCGCCAACTTAGCTGAAAACGGTGGCTTTGGCTCCTAGCTTGCTTCTACCATTCTTTTAAATTGTGTTCGACTATAGTGATAACTTGTGCTGACAATACCTATTAGCAATCTTTAAGCAGTAAATTCTTCGGTGTGCAATTGCATAGATTTTTGAGGGAGGGATTAAATAAATTTTAACTGCATGAAGAGTTTAGGAACCTGATTCCCTGAAAACAAAATTTAAATTAAGTTACGTTATTTATAATTTATATACAAAATGATTTGCTATAATTATTTTGTATGCATTATTTTGCATATATGCATGCATGTATAGCGCCAGAAGAAAAAAACGTGGGAAGCGCTGACTGCTTTATTTTATTTATTTTTCTTGAACTATTTCCTCTAATGAAGCTTTTGCATATTTTTATTACTTAAAATATGTTTTTTTTAAATTCCCATTACCTAAAACGTGTTTTAATTGCCCCCAAAATGCACTCGCTTGACACCAATCTCCCATCGGGTGTACCAATTATTCGTTTGGAGTTTAAACTAGTAATTAAGGGGGGAATAGTAGTAGCGCAAGAAACACATAATTTAGTTCCGTTTGGTACGAAGAGTGAAAGAAGAAATTAAGAATGATTCCTCGTACCTATAAATAACAAAATAATCAAAACTGAACATTTATTTATTATTTATTGACGACGCAGGAACGTAATAAACATCACATGGATCACCTTTATTTCTGCTTGTAATAAAATCATTTTCCAGTAACGAAGACCTGACCCCCCCCCAAAAAAAAAAGGCTAGTTGATCAGTCGATTTCAAAACGTCGGAAAATTAATCTTTTGGCTAATTTGACAATACGGCCCTTAAGTGGACTATTGTCATTAATTATTACCCCTCCGTTCTTTATTATAAGAGACATTTGATACTTATAGTATGTTCTCATATATAAGAGACACTTAAAAGTTGTCTCTAGTTTTTTGTATTGATTTCATATTTTACCCCGATTTATTTTGTCTCCAACTCATATTCTCTCTCCCTCCCACTTCTCTTTCTTTTAATAATTTAATTGTTCTCTCTCATACTCTCTCTCCTTATTAATAGGGACGTTGTTGAAAAAAAACATTACACTTTTTACACATTAATTGTCCTCAACTAATTTTAACTGTTTTTTTTATCAATGTAATTTGGTTATTTGTCTCTTATAATAAAGAACGGAGGGAGTAGTTATTATGAGAAAAAGTACTAAGGCATTCTCGACAACCTTATGGCATATAGCCAAGAAAAAGGGGGTAATGTGAAATGTGGTGGGCGTGAGATATCGTGAAGAAGAAGTGAAATTATGAAATTTGAAGGAATTACTCCATAATGAGTGCCAAGCAAGTTGAAGGGATGGAATTATAATTAAGAAGCCACAGTTACAGTGGACTCCCTAATTTTATTTATTAATTAAAGCGTGCATGGCTTCTACGGTCCATGTATTAGGAAATTCTAGGGTCTTCATTCAGTGCTCATCACAGCGATGAGCATGATATGCTTATCATTGTAATACAATCTAAACCATCTAAAACTGATATGGATGGTTCAAATTTAGAATTTTTAATATACAATTTTTTCAATAATAAATTTATTTTTTAAAGATATGTTAGTTATAATACTATTTTGATTTTAAATTCTGTATCTATTAAAATAAAAATTTAAATATATAAAAAATTTAAATTTAATTTGAACCATCTAAAATTGATTTGGATGATTCAAATTGTGATGAGCATTTTATACTCATCACAATGATGAGCACAGAATGTGCTTCCGAAATTGTTGCTAACAAAGTAGAATCAGAAAATCTTCTCATTTTTACACCTCAAGTTTCCACTAGTGATCTCTTTCTTTTTTCTTTTTTTTTCCTTTCAAAATTTCTTCAGCGTTTTGGAGTGATCGTCAAAAGGAGTTCAATAACAAGCTTTCAGAATGTTGTCATGTTCAATTAGTAGTAGTATTTTGCATTTCATAACTGGCATTAATTTTCTGCTTCGCCTTTTGCTCTGCTTCTTCAACCTAAGGGCTGTTTTAGTTGGAGGCATTTTCAGAATGAAACAGCATTGATGACGCCATGAATGTGGACATCGTTGGCCTTTTTTATATGAATTAATATGGCATGAATATCGGCGATGCCACGTGGCTCTCCAAGGATATTTCCACTGGATCCTTTTTAACAACATCATTCATCGATGGCGGCACAAGACGAGGACCCCAAGAGCTGTATGTGTGGTGAGAAATCAGGTGGTAGCATTTACGTGGAGTGTGTGCCTTTCCCAGACAATTCGGGTAATCCTGCGTCCCCTCCCACTCACCAGCACCAACCTATCAACGCTCATTACCTGAACCTACGGCTGCTTCTTTAATGGTGGTGGGTTGGGGGTTCCTCATTTAACACATGAACACAAGAAATCCGTATTCCTTCCGTCCATGTTATAAGAAACAACAACTGCTAAAATTATGCAGTTTAACATGTTAATTTTTTTGTATTTTTTCAATTACACTCTTATTTATAAAGAGAGTACATGAAAAATAATAAATGAAAATTTACTAAAGAGAGATTATAAATAGCATATATTTAATGTATATGAAAGTTTTAAAAAAAAAAACTGGTTTAAAATTTCAGACAAAAATAATTTCTTTTTTGATATTTAGGGCCACTAGATAGATATAGTTTCTATGGAAGGAGTAACTTGAAAACGGGGAGAGGGGGAGGAAGAGAGAAATACAGATAATCCTTATTATATGCCTCATATAGTCCTGTCGTTCAAATTCAATGCTGCTTCGATATATTTTAAGAAAGGAAGGAGTAATGTTTCAGGAATGAGTGCATGTTATAAATGAGGGAAGTTGAGTAGAAGATGCACCTTGCGAGGACGGTATCTTATTCTATGTACAGATACAAAGTTACAAACACAGCTGGTGACGTATGTGATGAAAGAAATCTTCACTTTTAAGTTTCATTTCGAGAAGCCTCGTAATATAAACTCAGGGTGATTTATAATTCAAGAGACTTTCCCTTTGATATATTATCTCTAATCTTAATTATAAGACTTTATTTATAATCAACAAACGAGATCTTATAATTAGGATCGGAAGTAATATTTTGTTTTGTAGAGTTGTTATATTCATAACAATCTCATGTTAGCACTTATAACTCAAGAATGGGACGGAAGGAGGAACGAAAAGAATATGCCTTAAAATCTTGAACGTGGGGTCGGAATGAAGAATCCAATATTGGAGACTATTGTATAGGCAGCATAGCGAGGCGGAGAAGAATCGAGAGGAGTTGTATCAAAAAAAAAAAAAAAATGAAGAAGAAGAATATTGAGGAGTTGTGTTCATAGGATTCCAGTGAGGCAGCAAACTAAAAGGCGTGTTTATGGAGGCTTTGAACTCTGAAGATGTGGCCTCCACCTACAAAGCGTCTTTGACCTCACTTCCCCCCCCCCCCCTCTTCTCCTTTCATCTTTTCCATAAGCTATGTAACTAAATCCTACTCTGCGTCACCAAGATATTACAACATGTGCGGTTTTATATTTGTAAGATAAAACGACCAGTGCGACTTGGAATGTAACAACGACACCTGTATATGTAAATGCGAGGTGTCATTTTGAAAGAGTTTGATGTTGCATGTGCTGAATTAATCGCTGCATTTGCATCTTAACATGATCCGATTCTCGCACTTGTGAGACAGAATTGAGCGGTAAATGAACGGACTTCAGCTCCCTCACATATTCCCCCTCCCCTGGAAAGAAGTTTTGTCGTCTTTTTAACAAGGCAACATAATGATTATTTATTACTATTGTTTTCCCCTTTCACATCTCTATGTAATGTTGATATGAAAGATTTCTCTGTTCACGGGATGACCAATAATTCATATCTTCATACAAGTACAACACAACTCCGATCCAGAGCATCGTGTTATCTTGATCCAATTTACATCTCTTTTACTATATCTGTATTTTTTTGGGTGAAATTACTGCAGCCAAACACCTCCACGTTAAAAGTCAAATTCGTTTTAAGATGCTTCAGCACTAACCTTTGGCGTGTCCGTGAAAATGGAAGGACGAAAGTGCCCCCATGCTTTTGCCGGTGGGAATGAACAAGTTTGTTGGAATTGAGGAAGCAATAAAGTTTGAAGTTCTAATGGGAAAAATTGTAATAGGATCTCATATAAAAATAATTACTCCTCCGACTTTAAATATAAAAACCTTATATATATTAGTATAAGGGTTTTGTATTTAGAACCAGAAAAATAAAAAAACTTTAATAACAAATAAAGAGTTATTATTTTTTATTTTGAAATTTGTCACTATGAGTAGCTCAGCAATCATCTTGCTTCCTTGAGATTTAATTGCAATTCTCTAATTCTAATTCTAATAATGAATGCTGGATAATAGTTTAGAATGGTTGGAGGTAAGTTAAAGGCTGTTAACGGGTTCTTAACTGTATGGTAATTTCCGATCTTGGTTTCTTGGTTGCATGTTGTTACTTTTCCGGAGGACGGATTCAGAGGACGGGCAGACTCTCGCTCTGGTCTTCGAGCAGCTTGTACGTTTCAAGAGCAAGCCTTCTGATTTCTCGTTTGTTTTATTTGTTTGTTTCTAAAGCATGAAATGGCCGTGATGATCTCCATTCTCCAGGATCTTTTACCCACTGTGCCCCTCAATACTCCACAAAGTGTACCCACCTAACTAGGAAATCTTTTATTAATTTTTTTCTCCAAAAATAGCAATAGGAATATTTGGTTAAAAGTAATATTATTTTTCACAAAAAAGATGTGTAATTTTTATAGGAAAAATTGTAAAAAAAGACCTTGGAATTGCAAAAACGCAGATAGGGACCCTTGACAACTTCACTTTAGGTTTTGACAAGAATAATATGCTCTGAAGTTGTCAAAACCCAAAGTGAAGTTGTCAAGGGTCCCTATCTGCGTTTTTGCAATTCCAAGGTCTTTTTTTGCAATTTTTCCATTTTTATATCATTTCTAAATAATCATACGTTTTATTTTTAATAAAAATATAACAAATGTTTTTTCTTATTCAATTCGTTCCAATCCCCCCCCCCCATTTCATTTTACTTCATTATTTATTTATCCGGTTGCTTGAAAATTCCCCAGGAACGTCCTACTAAACACTAAACAGCGGAGACATCGCAGAAGGAAGAGCTTCACAGCAACCGCATAGTGGCTGCAGGCCAGGACTTTGGATCTTTCCCCGAGACAGGTTGAACATGGGGTGGCTATTTCATCTTCTCTTTCTCTGCTCGCTGGGTCTCGCTGGTAAGTAACAGTGCGATACTGGAGCCTGGGCTTCCATTCTTGTAAAGCTCACAACTTTTCCCATCAGTGTAGGCAATGTGGGGTTTCTTCTTGCTCTTAGTTTCTCCCAAAACCCTTCATATCTTCTTGTTTCCTGTTTCGTAGGTGCCAGTCAAGAATCTATTGAACTCTTGAATCTCTGTGAGACAACCGAAGAGGTCTTACAAGCTTCATCTCGCTAGGAGCTCAGCGGAAAGTTGGCTCAGGTCTCACGTTCTGTACCCTGCGACGAAAATCACCACCATTGTTGTGGGCAACTCTGTCCTCTGCCACAGAGACCGAGAACAAAATGTCGGTTTGACTCTGGTTTCTTTGAAGAATGTCTATCACTCCCTGAAGAGGTGGGGCTTGGAGAAAGAAATCAAAGTTTCTGTTCCTTTATATCTAGACTGTTTGCATCCAAACTCTGCTTCTTACAAAGATGATTTGAGAATGGTCGAGCCTCTGATAGACTATCTCCGAAGTGTTAACTCCACCCTCTCTGTTATTCCACATTCGGATTTCTCTCAATTTTCGGATAAAAGCCTCAGCTTGGTGTCTTCTCACTTAGAGTCTATGAAAAAGTTTGGATTTTTCCATCTGATCAACATCAATGTTATCGCCACAGTCCCAAAAGAAAGAAAACCCATAATGAGAAAGCTTTCGTTTTTGGGTTCCACCCTCATGGGTACTTTCCCTGTAAGACCAACCCCATTACCGGAGATTGCAGAACCCCCATTACATTCCACTTTTGGTCAGCCTGCTCCTTCCCATGCAGCCACAAATCCTGCTCCACTATCTCAAATAAGTTCTCCTCCGATGCCTTCTTTTGCTCCAGAACTGCCACCATTCGCTGTTCCGGCTAGTTCTCCTCATGGTTTCAGTCTACCTCCTTGTAACCCAATCGACAATGGCTCGCCTCAACCAGATATAGGGATGGTTCAGAAGTTGTGGTGTGTGGCAAAGCCTAGTGTTCCAGCCGAAACATTGCAAGAGGCCATGGACTATGCTTGTGGGGCTGGTGGTGCTGATTGTCAGGAGATCAATCCTCAAGGCAATTGCTATAACCCTGACACCGTGGTTGCTCATGCTTCTTATGCTTTCAATAGCTATTGGCAGAAGCACAAGAGAAATGGCGGGACATGCGACTTTGGAGGAACCGCCATGTTGATAAGTTCTGACCCAAGTATGGATTACATTTTCGTTTCATCAAATATCAGATTCGTCTAATGATTGATTCTTACGTGGTTAGAATTATCTGTTTTCTTTTGCTAACATAGTGCGATATGTTTGCAGGTTTCCTTCACTGTCGGTTTGTTCTCAGTTAGAATGAGTGATATGTGCGCGTAAAACAAGGCTGGTGACCTTCTTTTGCTTCCATCAAGATTCTGATGCTCATCTTAGGACGTTGCCGTTGGATTTATTTTGCTGTTAGTAATTGCTTTCAATATGATGATGATTGTAACGACCATGTGTGAAATAGGACACAGATCCTCTCAGTATGAAGTAGGGACGCAGAGAATTTATGTTGCTCTAACTTGTTGACCAAGTTTAAGTCTAACTTTATTAGATGAATGCGACGGAGTGCTTGTTTTGCTGTTTATGATATATTCTTGTTGATGATTTAGATTCTTGAAAATTGAAAATGTTGATGATCAGACCCGTTGAGAGACTCCGAATTGATCAAACTAGCTGGTGTTTTCTTTCTGAACTATTCATGCGACTTTGAATCCGAAAAGAAGATAAACATAGTTGCATAGATTATGACTCTCATGATTAATGCCCATTGGCCTAAATAGGGCTCCTGCAACTAACCCAGTTTTGTGAGGGGGGGGGCTTATATGGTGGTCTCAAATTAATATGAATTTGTTCCTGATTTGATTCAGCCAATTTGACCAGCAAACCTTCTGTTGGTTTTCTTTTGTTTAGAGATTGTTAACAGTCAAATATTTGTCCCATTTCGTGCCAAACTGACTTATATTTATCATCCCTGTGATTTTCCTATTGCACTTCCCGTTACATGGTTCCTACTAGCTGGCTATTTTCGTTTCTTCCCCCTTTTCTTTCTAAAAGTATATGTTGAGAAGAAGGAAAGGAGATTAGTGAAAGAGAACTAAAGAACAAGGATAGAATATGCCAGCTCATGAGGAGGGACCAGAGGTTGAGTGCGTTTACGAATACGTACTTTGAGAAGAGACAAACATAAAGAAAGAAGCATGAAAAAGATGTGTCTAACGTACCACACAGTACCCAAGTCAAATTCAGAGTCTTATTGCGTTCCTTGGCTGCACAACTTTTTTGTCCTTGAAGCTAGCATTTTGGATTGGGATTCATTCTATCGAATGTGGATATTTTTAACTAAACAAGGGACGATAAAACAGACAATGACCATATCAGGCGGTGAGATACACAAGGGCCACTCCTCTCTTCATTTCCTCTTCATTTCTTCACTGTTGAGAGATTTTATTATTTCAGTAGTTTTATTTCCTCTATTTTTTTTTTTTATTTTCTGTACTTAAGATGTTTTATTATTTTACTCATTGGAGGGATTGTACTCTCTTCCTCTTTTCAGCATATTGCAATTTTCCTTTTTTTTTAATTACATAAATCAAAAAAAAACAATAAATTTGCAATGTATATATTTACGCTATATTTATGTCAGAAGACCCCAATAGGAGGCTTACTGATGTCACATTAAATTAGAAAAATTTTGTAAATAATTTGGTTCCTTCTTCCTCCGCATTTAAGACTATATTATGTGAGATGATACACAATTACAAATTGAACTTCTATAATTGATATAAATCTCCCATTTGGCTCCTTTTTTTTCCTAATGAAAAACTGCATCATTAATCAAAGAGATACTCCCCTAAGCCTAGTTAAAGCACCAGCCCGCAGGTTGTTCTCTTCAGGTAAATCTGTGAAACTTTTTTCCCCCCTTGCCAACAAGTCTCCGAAACTTGTCACTAGGCCCTCGTAAATTATAGTTCTAACTTCCTCATTCATCTCACGATAAGGATGGCTAACCACGTTCTCTCTTAAAATCAGATTATTCCCTTGCGCACTATCAGTCTGCATTTTGATTTTTCTCAAGCCCTTGTTTCCCTTCGGCTCCTTTTCGAAAAGAGAAAAAAGAACCCTTATAAAATCAACTAAACTGTTCTAGTGTACTCTAAACTATGAAAAAAGAAGAGCAAATGGCAAGAACAGGCCTCACATAGTGGTCTCCTTTCTGCATCCGCTGCATTGACTTGGCTTAATGGCTTTCGTATGATCGCTCAGCGTCACTGTTATTGGAATCATGAGAGCTATCTTTATTCTGCATACAAACAAAAACATCATCACAATTAACAAGCAACGCAACCCATGTTAACCTAAAATCAAACCACTCCCAAATATTTTTTTTTTGAAAAAAGCAACAAAAGAAAGGGGCAAATCACCAGGCATAAAACTCGTTATATTAATTAGAAAAAGAATCATTTTTCAGTAATCAGCATACAGCAATGTCACAATTACCAAGAAAGATGCAAATAATTTCCAGTGAAGTTTCCAGTTTCTATATCTTTGATCTGACAGATTCAAAACTCATAGAGAACCCCCCGCCTGAGGAGGCATCTTTATTTCCTTCACTAGCTGCAACATAATTGCTCTATAATGATTTAAGGCCATTCCTTACATAAGTAACAAGGGCGACAAACAACCGTCAAGCAAAATATATAGTAGAAGAATAAAATTCAAAAGGTACTCCGTGAAACCTCAATATTAATAAACATACTCAACAATAGCACCATCATACGGAGATTCCAAGATTTAACAACAAAAATCTACTATAGTTTTTTCTGCAGCAAGTATCAATAATCTCAGTAGGTTGATAATTGGTTTGAAATATTTAAACCAAAAACGAACGGACCTTTTTAGTGATACCCTGAGCAGACATAACTTCGTAAAGCTTGTGCATGAGCATTTCCTCTTCCACCTACAAGAAGATCTCCAGCAGTCAGGCATTATAGTTTATGACAATTATTTTATGATTTAGTATGTTTAGTACAGTCATTGCCAAAATAATTTCACCAAACTAAATTGGAATACAAGAATAGCAATAAGTCCGTCAAGAAGCTGGTAAAGAGCCAATAGAATCAGCTCAAACCTTCCGTAAGAAAAAAGAGGAAAAAAAGCTTCAAAGATTAAAATTACAGCTATGAGCTATCTGTAGTTAGAGAGGTCAGCACGTTTAGAGCTATATAGACAACCTCATCTAGCTGCATGGGATAGTTGATAAACAAGGGCGATATGGAGCAACAAATTTACTGTGATATTAAAGCATCACAGATCACAGTGCAGATAGAAAATAGTAGTTCATATTGTTTTGTCTCTTACAAGTTGCAATTACATCTTAGAGCCTGTATCATCCTTACTAGGAGATAAACAGAACCTACAGCAAAGCCGCAGGCGGATATAGTTTTTAAAGTGTATGGAAATATAAGAAACCTGAAGTTTTTGCAGCTCGTGAACCATTAACCTGTAGGATTCCATGAGGAACTCGTTCTGCCTATCCAAATGCCTGTTAATGGCATGATTAAAAAACCACTTGATTCAAACAAAACCGCTAAGTTAGTGTTAAAAGCATCGGTTCTAGGATTACTTAAGTAAATCTCCGCAGTGCTTCGAGTTAAGCTGTTCAGGCTCCATTCTAAGAGACGAGGGACAATCAAAGCCAGCAATAGTTGCTCGAGATCAGAAAAAACAAAGGACAGACTTAATTGGAACTTGTCTTCTTCAAACTCGAAAACCGAAGCGAAAACTTTATATCACCAGCGGAATTTCAATTTAAATAGAAGCAAAAATCAAAAGAATTATTAGCCCCATTGAGCAGAGGCTAGAGGCTACAAATCAGACGGCACAGGCTCTCTAATTTAGACGGTGCTAGCACTGAGAGGGAGAGAGAGGGGAGACCACACCGCCATTCCATTCCATTCGAATTCGATTTCCAGGTGGGAAAGACTGCGGGCCAGTCTCGCCTGCAAATCACCGACGACCGAGACGAGTCAATACTTCTTTTCGACGCGCTTTCCCTCTGCAGTTGGCGGCAGGTTTGAAAGTAGAGGAGCTCGCTTGGGCCGGGCTGAAGCTAAAGGGTGGAGTTGACGAACGAGATAGTTCGCGTTTTGTGACTTTCTTCACGCATGCAGGCACGCACTTTTTCCCTGTTGACTTTTTGGGCTTTCAACATAGAACTTCACTTAAGCACACTGTATGAGGCCCATAATGAACCTAAGCCCACTATAATTCGGATTTTCCTTTTGACTACTGCCAAATTCATATAACTTCCGCCTTCTTATGTACCAAAAACCTACAAACTTGATATGACTTAACCTAAAGCCGTCTCAACAATTATGACTACAAAAAATCAGATTAAAATTCATTGTGACTCAGAAATTTAGGCGTTGCTTAAAATTAATTAGCTCTCGTACATTAAAACTTGTCTGAAAATTTGAGTGACAATTTACTCTACGTTAAATAAAAGGAAAGCACTCAGACATAAATATCTTAAAAATTATGAAGACAAAATACAATGTTAATTCAACCGCATATATATTGAATAAACTAAAGTCAGAGAGGAGAATCTTGAGAATATACGCAGTAATGATAATATTGCAAAAATGGAGGTCATGATGGTCTCTTTTGGGATGGGTATACAGATGCTACGCCATTTCAAGCTTCACGATTCGTCATCATACATAAACATGATGACCACCACGATGTGCAAATGCACCTTTTTTTTTTTCAATTTTTTTTTTTTTTGGCCTTCACATGCAATGAAACTGAGTCTGAGATACAATATCGCCTTTTGATGTTCTGCTAAAGTAGTGTTCATAACCAAGAAGGCAACATATAGCCTCCTTATTCGAACAGAATAGCCAAAGCTCTTTGTCAGCTAAGTAACTGCAACCTTCCTGCGTATACAGCAAAGTTTTATGATGAAGTAATAGTTAATGACTTTGATGTTTTTAAAAATATGGATATGTGTGTCCAAATTAGGCCGACTCTGAACAGCGAGAATGGGTTTTAGATACTGTTTCATCAATAATACGATATGCAGACAATGGTTGGTGAATAGGCACTTTCAGAGAGAAAAAGTTAGATAGTAAGAAGCCAAGAAGCAAAAAGCCTAACTTTGATGAGGATTGTGGACCATGAGACCGAGCAGCTTGTGGGCACCGTTCAGTGCCGTGGCTTCAATCTCGAAAGCTATCGTTCACACGCATACCATCAAACCTAGCTAGCTAGGAGAGCTGTAGTGTAGGGATAATTCTCTATAAACCTAGTGGATATTATTATTCTTGGCCAAACCAGTGACCACGTAACTAAATCATTGAAGAAGCTCACTATTTCCGGTTCAACTGCAATGGATATTTCAAGTTTGCTTCTGCTTGTTTCGTCGTCTTGCGTTAATCTCCCATCCCATATGGACCAAAGGAATATTTTTGACGTCTTTTGGCAGATTCCTCATGGAAGTACGTAATATTTCTCATCACTCGCGAGTCTGACTAATTCGGAGAATGGGCTAATTAAAGTTCATTTTTATGGTTCACAGGTTAAAAGTCTACGTTGTGCATGTTCTTCAATCAAGTTGGCAGAAAATTTAAGCAGTGTCAAGTACATATATGCTTGATTAGCTGAAAATGACATCCACTGATCATATGGCAGATATTTGAAAATGATGTTTTCGTCAACAAATCATTACACCTCTCTATGTGCCCGAATTTTTTTCCCCTTATGTATGTTCTCGTGCATGTTCTCTTATCTCCAGCATATAATTGATTCACCAAACACATTCATTGAACTTCTCTGATATGTGCCAAAGAAGAATATCACATACTATTCCATTATTCCTCCCCTACTGGCAGTTGAGGAGATTAACGTTACGTTAACTGGCCATTAAAACAATGACTTTTAATTATTGGACAGTGCTTTTAACTCTTATAATTAGTTCATGTCTTGGGCAATTATTAATTATTCGTAAAAGTTCTCCATGGAACTTAATAATGAGAATCAAAGGCCATGTGCCTTGTGATAATTACTGAAACCTCAGCAAACCCAGAAAAACCTTCTCGGTGCCCACTTTAAAATTAGATTATTCCTGTCTGAGTTGTAAATTTATCCATCACATACGATTCCCTGAGGTTTGCTTTTGAGCATGCCTTTTTCTGGGTTTTTTTAATTCGAGAGTTACAGAATTTGCTCCGTTACTTGTACCAAAGGTGCCCTTATACCTGAAAAAAACTATTATGGGTGCCCTTGATTTAAGGACGTCTGGATGGTCCCCTCCTCAAGTTAGGCATTTCAGTTGAGCTGGAAAGACGAGTTCTTTTGAAAAAGTTAGAAAATAATGTTGAGCACGACCATCAAATGGCATGCCCACATGGGATAAGTCAAAATTCCACACATTGTTTGGACCATAATACGTGTACAAGTCATCTTATCCACAATGCTCTTTTACGTTTTTACGTTATAATTGACAAGTCGTGTGTATATCGGCCGGCGACCTCGATAGCTAAAGGTTTTCTTGGCGGTTTTTAAAATTTGGAAATCTTCTCTCAGAATTGTTTAACTCTTTGAATAGTGTTATTTTCATTGTCGTTAACCTTCAGAGTTCTATCAGATCTTTTCTTCGTATTAATTAGATGAAATTAAAACCCGACAACCTGTATGAATATAATCTTTCAAGATTGGGGCATACTAACATGCTCCATTTTTATAATTAAGGGTTACGACAGTTTTTCAGGAATCCATCTCATTTTCTTGTAGATCCTACAGGTCCAAACTGTTGTTACTTGCAACACCATCTGCATCCGATGCGCCAGAAAACGTAATTCTTTTCATTGTTTAATCTTCTTCTCTCTGTTTTTGGGGTGAGCGAGAAAACGTAGGTTCACATTATTATATGCATGTGATATGAGGCAGTTTCTGCGTTTCCTTCTGATTTTCTGGGGAAAAGATTCTTGATAGAAGGGAAAAAAATATAAACAAATGTAGGCATTATCATGGGGATGTGCTAGAGAAAGCGAATACGATAAAACCAAGTGACAGTCTTCTGTATTTTATATTGGCATCGGAAGAAGCAGATCAGAGCAATGCATGTGAGATGATTGGCAGAGGAAAAGCATTGTGGTCACAATTTGACCAATGTGCGCAGACCAGATTAACCAAACGCAACCCGAATTCGTCAGATTAGTCACATTATATAAGGAAGGGAGATGAGCCAAGTATTTATTCTTCGTAGCAGTTCAGAGAGAACAAACCAAATTTTGACATCCGATCCATGTACTTCAAGTTTTAGAGAAGAGCGAGGTATAATTACTTGTCTATTTATTAACTGGTTGCAAGAGAAGAAGCCAGGTAATAAAGGCCATGTTAGAAATTCAAATACTTGTTAGAAATTAAAGAGGACTCGTTTATGCCAGAAAATGCCCCGATTAATTAGTAATATATTTCCTTGCAAGAAATTTTATGCAAGCAAGATATGGTATCTCTTCAACTTCAATAATGGCATATCTATCTAACCTAATCTAAATAATACATATTGTATGAAACGGTGATTCTTCATAAGATCCTCTTGATTCATTATATCAGAAACATTAGATTGGGAAACTGAACGTCTAGACTCAATTCAATTTATAATTTAATTATTTTGATTATAAATCTAAGAGCTTGTGAACCAGAACAAATATAATAGCCAACCTAATAAAATCAACAGAGAGTAAATTAAAATATTTATAATAATGAACAATGGGATGAGCATGATTCAGAGAGAACGTAGAGAAATAGAGTGGTCCTTGTGTACAAAACGGGGGTCGGGGTAGCGGAGGGGCTAAATTGGGTTCACAGGCTGAAACGAACGGAGCACAAAAAAGTGGCGCCTGTCAGACGGGCGTGCGTTACATAACATTACATTGCATGCTGCATTCTGCATAGTGGTGGGGGAGAGAGAAAGAGACTAAATACGTGGGTGGGGGCCTCGTGGTGGTGTTCATCATTCCCACTTTCGATCGTGAAGTTGCTCTATTTCCGAGCTACGCAGACCTCAATCGACCTCCTTCATTCATTCACTTCTAAAGTGTACCAAGAACTAATTATCGCTGCTTTTCCAAATTCTAATTTTTTAACTATATCTCCTTTAAAATAATACAGCGCTGTAGTTCAATTAAATGCTTTTCTAGCTTTAGGGGAAGTAAGAAGGGTGGGGAGATTGGGAAAGAGAGAGGTGGTGGTGGTGGCGGCGAGGGGCGGGGACGAAGGTGCTGATTCAAAGGCTCTGAAGCAGAGAGAGAGAGAAGATAGTGTTGTGTGTGGGAACATTCTGAGATAGGTTGGCCTCTTGTGTTTGTGTAGTTGTGGGGGCTGTCAAAGGTGAAGAGGAACAGCTCATCTTTTTTGAAGGTGATCTTTTCGGTTCGGTTGGGTGGTTTCTGTGATATGTGGGGCTCTGTGAAGATATAGTGCTATTCATGCACTGAACTTTATGTTTGTTGGGGTGCCCCATTTCAGATCTCTCACCGTATTGGGCCACCATCCCTCTCCTCGCAAGTTTTCTGCTTGTATTCCTCTCTTTGTCCTACAATCCTCTGCTCTCTCAAATATTCCCCTCTGGTATGCTTCCGTTTGATTGATTTCTTTTCTTTCATCTGGTCTTTTTACCTTTTGCCTGTTTCCCTGCTGCTTTACGCTCGCTCTTTCTGTTTTACATCTTCCAATCCTGCCATGTTCATTGGGTTGATTTCTCCCCTGCAGGTTTCTTAATCTAGATTCTGATAAAATGTTCCTTTTTCTACCCATTCTTTAAATTCGAAAGAGCCTTTTTTCTGCCACTGGCTAAAAATTTTCGGTTGCGAAACGTGTACGACGATCTTTGGCCAGAAACCATCAAAATTGATGCCTTTTGTCGATGATGTTGGGTGGTTTCCCTTCCTCAAACTCATACCGAGATATTCTGTGTTGTGATTGTAGGTTCTATGGCCTTAATGGAGGGACAAAGCTGAAACGTGGCTAGCGAAGGAATGTTGATCATAGGATTTGGGGTTCTAAATTCTAAAACTGTGTGGACCCGAAAAGGGTCTTGCTCATGTCTTGACTCCGTTGGGAATAACAAAGAAGGAAGGAAGAAGGCAGATATCTAGACTCACAAACATATAATATATACATACTAGGCGGTGGTGTCAGTCTTGAACAAGTGGGTGTGTCTCTGGTTTTGAGAAATTTATATAGGTTCGAGGTACTCTGTTGGCAATGTCCCCCTAACATGACCATATTTGCCGGACTCATTGGGTTGTGTTACCAATTTAGTAAGCAATCTCTTCTTTGAGTCCCTTCCATTCCAAGCGAAATAAAATATACACAGAAACCCCTTCCACCTCCTCTTACTGGCCTTGGCTTCTGGTAAAGATTCGGTCATACTAGGAAATTATTACTCCTAATTCTATTTGATACATCTTCCATCTACTTGAATTTTTCCGCCTTACTCATATTCCTTTGTTATATCCGTAAACTCGGGTTTGGGTTTCATAGCGGAGAGTCGCTATTTGGGTTACCGGTGGCGATAGCTGAACGCCTGAACCTAGGGATTGGATCCAATAGGGAAAACGGACCCACTTATACTTCGCTTCAGCCAAGATGAAGTTTATGAAACTGGGATCTAAGCCTGATTCTTTCCAGACTGACGGCGATAATATCAGGTGTGAGATCTGTGCAAAATATATTTGCTTTTTTATTTAGCTCTTGCTCAGAATCTGCATAATGGGTCTGTTATTGCTCCCATATATTATTCATTCTCTTTGGAATTTCATTTTTGGTTTCCTTTCAGTTTGAATCCTGTTCTGATTTTATTGTTCTTGTGCCTTATTTCAATGTCAGTAGATTAGTATGCTTTTATTTTGAATCAGTTCATACTTTGTACAGTTTGTGTTGGTGGAACTGCACAAAAAAAAAAAAAAAGAGTTATGGGGACGCACCCACAAAATCAATACAAATATGGACGGAAGCAGCTATTGCTGTCGGAGAATTATTCGCAGTCGAAATATCTACATATTGATACCACTGAAATTTGACTTTTATTACGCACTAGATTGGCCAATTATCTTATTCTTCGAATAGATAACTTGAAGATGCTCTGGACCCGAATTATCATGTTTTTAACATCTACTTCCTGATTTTCTGTTCTACTCCACAGTAAATGATTTGCTCAATTGTATTTAGTATAATGACAGGGTTGGTTCCCTTTTACTTTTCTTTCAAGGGTAATCATCCATCCATCTTCTCTATTATATTTTAACCATAGTAAAGTGGAATAGCCTTACTGAAATGATGTTACCATATATATAAGTTTTCTGGAAGTTGATCTAAGTGTAGACATTGCTCAGGGGAAATGATGGAAGTATGAGTGCCTTCGATCTTAAGAGGATAGGAGTCTCGAAAGTTTTTAAATAATTTTGAACTCATAATTTTGAACTCAAAGTTTATTTTTTCTATCCTTACAACATAGTTCTTATTCTGACTTCAATTTTAGCCACAGCCATTGTGAGGCGTAACCCACCTTCTCACAGTAGCCTCATTTGGTTGGACGCATGCCTGCATCTTTGCTATACTCCCGGACAACATCTGTTTCATGCTTAATTTTATTTAACTTACTGCGTGCTTTCAGCAGATATAGAAAAGGAGACATAGTTCTTCGCTTTGTGTATTTGTATTCTAATGTGTGCAAATTGGGAAATTTGTACTCACAGAAATCATGTCTTTGCATTTACCTGAGATCCAGCAGATCATATGTATCTTTTATTATTATTATGTTTTTATTATTTAATTTTGTTTCTTCTTTTTCTATTCTTCTTGATTTGTTCATTCCTTGGAAGTCACATGAACTGGCATATATGCATGCAGGTATGTGGCAACTGAGTTGGCAAGTGACATAGTCATTAATGTTGGAGATGTAAAGTTTTATCTCCATAAGGTAAGAAATCTAACATTTCGACTATGTTTGATATCCATAAAAGGAATTTGAGGGAAGGGAAAGATGAGGAAAAGTAGTTTTCGTTTTGTTTGGCATGACATAGTGACTTTTTTAGTAGTCTGATCCATAGCTTAGACAAGATCTAAGCCTGTTATTTTTCTTGTCAATTAGTGCTTCTGTCCCTCTTTCTATAAAGGGAATTCAGTAGCTGTTTAGGGGGAAAATGACTAGTTTTATGTTCCTTCTTATTTTTCATCAAATTGAAAGGGTAGAACAAAAGTTGCCGTTGTTCATGGATACTTCTACTGTATTATGACGACTAGAGCCTGGCACTCTTGTAGGATGTAATTATGTATGCGCTCTGAATCATTCACTTGACAAGGGCGTTTGACTATACTTTTCTAACAATAAGTGCTATAGCAGTAGGATGGGATTGCAGATGACATTAACATTAGAAAGATATTAATGATATAACCATTTTTTTCATCCCAACTACTATAGTTTCGATGTTTGTAGATGAATGGTTGGTTAAAAATGTTAATATCTTCTGCTTATGTTTTTCTGGGTCGGTTGTGACTTTATTTTCAATTAATATCTACAGTTTCCTCTTTTGTCCAAAAGTGCACGCATGCAAAAGCTGGTTGCAAACACCAACGAGGCCAACAATGATGAAGTCAACATCCATGACATTCCTGGAGGTCCTGCTGCTTTTGAAATATGTGCGAAGTTCTGTTATGGTATGACAGTCACTCTCAATGCATACAATGTCGTCGCAGCTCGTTGTGCAGCAGAATATCTTGAAATGTATGAAACTGTTGAAAAAGGTAACCTTATCTACAAGATTGAAGTTTTCCTCAGCTCAAGCATTTTCAGGAGCTGGAAGGACTCAATTATTGTTCTACAAACCTCCAAGTCTCTCCTTCCATGGTCTGAGGAACTTAAGGTAGTAAGCCACTGCCTTGACTCAATAGCTAACAAGGCTTTAATGGATCCATCTAAAGTGGAGTGGTCATACACATATAACAGAAAAAAGCTCCCACATGAAAATGGTAATGATCCTCACTGGAATGGTGTGAGGAAGCAGCAGATGGTTCCAAAGGACTGGTGGGTGGAAGACCTCTGTGAACTCCAACTTGATCTCTATAAGCGTGTCATAACTACAATCATAACTAAAGGCAATGTTTCCAGTGCCGTGATTGGAGAAGCTTTGAGTGCTTATGTTTCAAGAAGGCTGCCGGGTTTTAATAAGGGTGTGATCCAGGGTGGTGATGTCATGAAGTATAGATTAGTGTTGGAGACAATTATTCAGCTACTACCTGTGGAGACACGCAGTATCTCCTGCAGTTTCTTGTTGAAGTTACTGAGAGCAGCTATTCTTTTGGAATGTGATGAGTTGGAAAGAATGGAATTGATGGGGAGAATAGGCCCGCATCTTGATGAGGCTACAGTGGCTGATCTTTTGTTTCGGGCGCCAGCTGATGAGACAACTATGTTTGATGTTGATACAGTGCAAAGGCTAGTCGAAGAGTTTGTGGCATGTGAACGAAATGCAGAGTCTGATTCTCTGATGGAAGATGAACTGCAGGAGATCAGAAGGCCCAGGATAATATCAGAGGCATCTAAGGTTAAGGTAGCAAAACTGGTGGATGGCTACCTAGCTGAGATTGCTCGTGATCCAAACTTACCTGTTTCAAAATTTCTTAATCTTGCTGAGCTGGTATCGGCTTTCCCAATACCATGTCATGATGACCTTTATCGTGCTATCGACATGTATTTAAAGGTGAGCACCTCATACATGTCCAATCAGGTTTTAGCTACTTTTTCTTCGTTCTCATTTGTTTGTCCTGAATTCCTGATTGTATTGGACGAGGTTCCTAATATACGACTAGTATATTTAAACATACGCTTCTGTATTACTCACCTTACCTCCCCTTAGCGTGGGAGATATTCCATTTGGTCAAAAAACAATGAACTCTAACTGACATGATCTGTTTTGTTCATTCGTTGTTTGATGGTGTCTAGTACTCAGCCAATAGAAATACCATTGAAGTTTCAAAACTGACTTTGATTGTTGACTTCACAAAAGAACAGTTACAGTCCAACACCAATCAAACAAGTTCCTCAGGCTTAATTTCTTTACATATGATGCAGGAACATCCCGGAATCAGTAAGAGCGATGCGAAAAGAATATGTAGATTGATGGATTGCAGGAAGTTATCTGCAGAAGCCTGCATGCATGCAGTGCAGAATGAGAGGCTTCCCTTGCGTGTTGTCGTGCAGGTCCTCTTTTTCGAGCAGCTGAGAGCTTCAACATCATCGTCAGGGCAGAACACTCCTGATCTGCCAGGGTCAGTTAGGGCCTTGCTTCCTGGAGGATCTCACGGCAGCTCAAGGTCTACTACAACCAATACTGAAGATGAATGGGATGGCACGGCAGAAGAAATGAAAGCTCTCAAAGGAGACCTTGCTACAATGAAGCTACCAAGAGGAGACAGCGGACGAGGTAGTGATATAAACAGCAACGATAGTGGTAAATGCAATGGTGAAAAAGTTGCTGCAGGCAAAACAAAAGGTTTCCGTATATCAAAGAAAATATTTTCGAAGATTTGGTCAAGCAAAGAAGGAAATGGCGAGATCACTAGCTCTGATACTTCTGAAAGCCCTGCTTCTACTGTTGTTGAGGAAACAAAGTCCACCCCATCCAGAAGTAGGAGGCACTCTGTATCTTAAAATTGCTTGGTATTGGATCATTTGTATAATCTTACTCAACGGTAGCTATAGGAGCTAGGGCTTACTGACATCTTGCACTTGATTCGTCAATGGAAGACTTGGAAAGTATGAAGCACCAGGAAACGTAGTTTCCGTGTTGAATGTGTCTGTATAATTTTCCCAGAGATGCATTTTTCGATTAGCCAATGTTGTCGTCGTTTGTCTTTGTTGGAATAGAGAAGGGCTAATAACACTGACCCGGTTTTGTTGTACCATAATGAAAAGGAATGTCATTATTGCTTTGTACTCCTTTGCCTCATTTCTCCCTCTTAAATCCCTCAAAATTATTGATTTCTGACTCTTTTGGGCCATAACAATTTACAACTTGGTTCATATATAAACAAAACCACTGCTTCCTTCTTCTTTAATCTGAGTTTTTACTGAATGACCAAGCTAAGTTTCCGGGAAACATCCAAGTATCTTAGACTACTACGTTCATAATAAACTAATTAATAATATGATCGAACTCGAAAGGGAGTATGTCTAAGTTAATATCAAAGGACCATGACATAAGAAGAGCAACACCAAAATCTGAAGTATAATTTCAGCTGTGGATTCATTAGAATCTATAGCAGTTTGCTTTTAAGTTTGAGGCTAAGCCCCTCTGATTTTTCTTTCCTTCTTTCTGGTCCAAGTGATTAATGAGGCTCAACATACATATTTCCTGAAATGCCATAACACCACGAGGTCCGTGCGCCAGTATTAGCATCATGATGTAATGGGCCAACCATCTGACATATCAGATTAGCTAGCTCAGTCAATTAATAGCTTCCAGCCTAAGTTATAATACTTAATACGGTTCCCATCTATACTTGAAGTTAACTTATTATAGATTAATGATTTAATTAAGAGATTCAATTACTACATGCATTCACAGTAGTTAATTAAGCTACTATAAGTCGTGATTAAAGTTGACCTTAAAAAAAAAGAAAAAATCAACCAACTTTTACTCGGTTGCTTCAAACTATTTCAGAGGGAGAATTGCAACAAGGCACACAAAAAAAAAAGAATATAATTATTAAAAAGTTCTAATGACAATTAAACAGTATGTAATAACAAGTTTCAGTATAGGAAATAACAATTTTTAGCTTATTATTAGGACTTTTTTTTGGTAATTATGATTCTTTTTTGAAACTTTATTGTAATTCTCTCTCTTTTTTTTTAAACTTTGTACTGTGCAAGACTCCATTAATCTGACGAGAAAAACAGGGACTTTTAATTTAATAACAATGCATGATTAGTAGTTAGGAAAGGTTATATTATAACAGGTCAGTCAAAGTAGGTAAATTTGCCTTGGATTATTATATATATCAATCAGAACTGACTTTCTTTTTTAGATCCCTGCTCAACCCATGCATGTGGACCTATATATAAAATATTTACGAGGAACTTTTCAAAGCATTAAATTCAAATAGAGGAGATAAAGAGAAAGATTACTCCTCCAAGATATTATAATAATTAAAAACCCGTTGACGTAGAACAGAAGACAACCAAACAAAATTGATGGAGTGTGATTAATTAGGCATTTGTCCGTGCCAATATTTATTCTTCTCATCATCATCTTCTTCTTCAAAACCCAACTAGCCAGCCAGCCAGTGAGTCAACGAAGCAAGGAAGCGACAGAAAAGAAGGTAAAATGCTAACGGACGACAAAAGTAGGAGACAATCCAAACAACCCTAATTGTTTCTTTCGACAGTGAACGAACATTCACCCATTTTATTAATAATCCACACTGTTAATTAATCAATCCATCACCATTCTTTAATGACCTTTTGCATTTGATGCTCGATCTGAAATGGGAATCTCTGATCTCCCTTTTTTTTTTTTTGGCGGCTTCGTTTTTAAAGAAATATAAGTGGATAGTTACATGTGCAATGACGAGAGGTGGTTGTGCTTATATTATTTGGATATAGCTTGGAGCTTACGCAATGATTTCTATCAATGTAATCTTGGGAGAGCATTTTGATATTGAGGTTCCTGGTAATCTTACCTTAATTATGTGGAACGCATACCTGAAATTCCTGATGATTTTTATTGTCATCGACGCCAGTTATATCTTGTGAAAATGACATGAAGTATATATATTAATGGATAGCACTTGACACGTTATGAATATTTGCGAACTAATTTTAACTATTTGTATAAATTATTTTTATCTATATGTGTGTGTACATATATATATATATAGAGAGAGAGAGAGAGAGAGAGAGAGCAACAGGATGTCATCGTGAATTATATGGTGGGATTATTTGATATGCAAAGTTGCTATGTGAGCTAGCTAGATACAAATATAGATAGGTTATTAGCTGTGTGATTAGAAAAGCAATTTGACAATGAGGTCGGAGTCAATCCTAATCTGATGATAAAGTTTAGCATTATATTAAGCTTTTTAACTGCTAATGGATGTAGGTACTAATTAACCGCCTGGTCAATCCACGCCCATCGGCCCTATGATCCATATTGACTTGGAAATTTACCAAATTATCCCAAACCTTTGGAAATTAAAAAGTTATTATTTGCTCATGTCAAGAATAATACCACCTCCCGTTCTTAATATAAGACTTCATTTTATTTTTATTTTGATCCTAATTATACGATCCCAATCCATTTTGTCTCTCATATTTATGCTTTTTTTTTCTAAGATAGTCTTTCTAATAATGGTAGTTCTAACCAATACACTTGATTAGCAAGAATATTTTAGGAAAGACATCACTTATTTATTACTCCTCCGGTCCTAATTATAAGACCCAATTGACTTATTTGAGGAAATTAAGGAAGTAAGTTAAGTTGGTTATTTATAATAAATAAGTGTTGTCATTCCTAAAATATCCTTGCTAATTAAGTATATTGGCTAAAACTATCATTATTAGAAGGATTATCTTGGAAAAAAATGCATAAATATAAGAGACAAAATGGATTGGGTCTTATAATTAGGACCAAATAAAAAGTCAAATTGGGTCTTATAATAAGGACCGGAGGAATACAACTAACTAAGTTAACTTATTTTTTTTAATTTCTTTAAATTAATTAACTAGTTCTTATAATTAAAATGAGAGGTAGTACTATTTTAGAATAAATATGACGTACATAGCACAGGCATCTATTCTTATTGGCGCGCGGATGCTTGTCTTTTATTTATGTATGCATTCTTCTTCTTTTTGCCAGCTCGTTGATTTAATTTTGTTAATATTAAACATTACCTCCGGTCTTTAATATGAAATCTTGTTCGATTTTTATTTTGATCATAAATATAAGATCCTAATCCATTTTGTCTCTCATATTTATAAATTTTTTCCAACGTAGTCCTTCTAACAATGATAATTCTAACCAACACACTTAATTAGCGAGGATATTTTAGAAAAAATAACACCTATTTATTACAAATGACTAACTTAACTTCTTTTCTTAATTTCATCAAATTAGTCAACTAGCTCTTATAATTAGAACCGGAAGTAATACGACTTATTTACTTAATATAAAAACTAGTTTCTTTAATATTTCTAAACTAGTTAATATATATATATATATATATATATATAGAAAAGGCGTTATATATTGTGAATTGCAGAAGTGTGTTGTGATGGGATATCTTTGAGAGAAGAAGAAATGAGCAGGGGAAAAGAGAGAGAGAGGGAGTGTGAGCGTGCGAGAGAGAAAGTGATGGGGGTAAGTTATCGTGGTTGAGATTGGATGAGATGGTTGCATATCAAAAGAATGGAGGGAGTGAAAAAGGAAAAGGAAGTTGGGTGCTGGCGAGTACTAGTAGAAACGAAGAAAGGATGGGGGGAAAGAAGGAAGGGGAGTGACACGTGGCGTTCACAAGAGAGCGTTGCTGCAACCGTCTCCATCACGACACTTGTGATTACCATTATAAGTGATCTTGAGGGCAATCCCGTGAAAGGTGCCCGTGTTGGGATCGCTGTTTGTTTCGGTTTCATGTGTTCCATTACCCCTTCCCCCATCCTCTTCCACAATTATATTCACACTCGCCCCCTACTCAATTTAAATTAAACACAAATAAAAATACTTGTCCTTTTCACGTTCTTATCGTTCAGTCTCATCGCCAACCATCCCAACACTTACATGCTCCATACCTTTTCCCCTCTTTTATTATTATTGTTGTTGTTAATCTCCCTTTTAACCTCAGTTCACTCACTCCCATTTAAAAGCACCCACACCAACCCCCCCACTTGCGTGCCCAGCTTCCCCATTTAAACTCACCCCAATCACATCCCCACCTATTTATTTATATTAAAATTTCAGATGATCCCAGTTTGAGGATATAAATATAGAATTATTTTTGCCAACCCATTTGCTTCCTCCACATTTCCATCTTGCATTATACTATTCTCCGAATCAGAACCTTATGCGCAGGTGGTTTCCTTTGCGTCACCAGCCCCTACACACACACACAAACAAGTTCTTGGAAATTAAGTCCTATTTTAATTATACCAGGTACAGTCACCCAAATTAAACTCGTCACTCAATGAAAACGAGAGTAATGGTCGATGCTTAGGTCAGAACAACAAGAACTTATTCCGTGTGGTTTTATCAATATATGTATAAATATTAGTTCCTTAATTTGCCCAGCCTTTCAAAGAAAAAGCACGCTAATTAACCTCCCAATTAGAGCTGATTAGTGTTCGATGCAAGAAAGCGCGTCCTAAAAATTATATATACCAAAAAAAACAAAGAAGGAACGAAAAACAGGCACACAGAGAGGTGATAGGGAGGGGCTAAACATGGGGATGGTGAGGAGGCCTGGACATAAAATTAAATAATGGGCACCATTTGATTCCCACTAGCCTCAATAAGAAAGATACTAGGAACCCAATAAAACAAAGCTGGCTAGGATAAGGTCCCCACCCGCGGGCATATTATCAGGGACACAGGATATAGTCCCTAAAAGGTTCTTTAAGAAAAGCTTTGCGACACGGACAAAACACACCCTCAGGATACTCCATTCCTACCGTCACTCCCCTCTCTCCAGTCGCGCTCCTCCTTCCCCCCATTACAGTTAGAGAGGTCTCTAGCATTAGCATGCCTTTCAATTTATGCATTTCCCAAAAAAATTTGTATAAAGCTAAAGTCGAAAAGACGATAGGTAAACAACACTAGATCATGAAAGCTGCGTTTGGTTCAAAGAGGATCTAAAAAGCCACATCCATTTACAAAAAGCTACTTCGATAAAACTAGAGGCGGGATGGATATTCTCTCTCCTTTACAAGACTCAAAAAAAAAAAAAAATCCACCCCCCTCCCCCCAAAAAGATCATTCCCAGCCACAGGACCCCCAACGCCTGGTATACATAAAAGACTAGAAAACAAAATCGCAAAACCAAGAAAGATTAATTAGTAAATAGTAACGAAAAAGGTGTGGGTTCCCCATTCGCGCCTGTGTTTCTCACCCTGCTCGTCACTAGTGACTGGGAATCATCTCGGTCGTCGCTACTAAAATTAGAGTTAAAACTCTCTGGGGTCAACAAAAATGGACCATCCAGGCGGAGATTTGGTCCAGTCACCCACAGAGCCGTCACTGTAGTCTTCCCCGAGCCGCTTGATACACCATAAATCCTCATCGCAAGACAGCATCTTCCAGTGTGGTATCCCGACCCTGAGTGGATCGCGGCTCGACACCTCCGTCGCCACCACCCCGCAGCCACACTCCTTGGCCAGGTTGTGCGCGAACCTGCACAGGGCCTTCACCATCTTCACCGCTTCAGGGCCTTCGCCTCCTAGTCCGTACAGGAAGTGGATTCCGAACGGTCTGAAGAAGTTCGGGATCGACGGCAGTCTCAGCCACGGCAAGGCCCGATCCACTATTCGGGTCGTTTTCGCGAGCGTGCGCTTCACCCGCGACGCGCCCCGCACTTCGAGCGTGAAGACGTCCTTGCAGTTCCAGACGCTGAGCACTGCCCAGGACTCAGGTGGGTCCGACAGGAAGCGATCCAAGCCGGGCCATGTCTCTGCGCGGTAGGACCCACTCGGGACGGCGAGGAAGGTCCCGAGGCTGAGTTTGTTTTTCAGGATGGAATCAATGTCGCGGGGGAAGAATTCCGTGGTGGCGAAGCGACGACGATAGAGGGATTCGGCGTCCTCGGAGTTGAGTGGGATGATGGTGACCTTGCGAGACACCTTCTCTCTGTGAGCGTAAACGGGATTGACAAGGATGGACGGGGTACGGAACCTGAAGTATCCGCATTTGTCGGTGAAGAGCTTAACGGATGCTAAATTGTCGTTTTCCGTCGCTATGTACGAGTACTCAACCCCATTATTTCTGAACCACTCCTCTATTCTGTGCACCAGCTTCGACCCTATTCCCATCCTCCTGCGCCCACAACAAACAAATACTGATATCAGATATCACCCCCCATTACCTGGGCTTTTAGGATCGTTGTTGTTGTTGTAATTATAATTATAATTATAATTATTCCTGAAAATGAAGAAGTTGATGAGACAGGTACCTGTGAGAAGGCGAGACTCGGAGGCCTAAAACGTAGGCGACTTTGGTGTATACGGGGACGTATCTGGGAGTGGCTTGGAAGGTGTCAGTGTCGTTGATATTCAAGTAGGGGCTCTTCGCATTTCTGGATAGCTTCTTTCCGCATGTAACGGTTTTGATGCAGCCCCTTATCAATCCTACAATCTCTTGGCCCATCTCAGCCACCTGTTCAAACCCAGGAGCGTAATCAATGATCACATAATGGGAAATCCTATAATTATTGTGCCAGTTTTATTTTATTTACTTCCTTTTTTTTTTCTCTCACAGATGACAACAGTCTTACAGTGTAGTACAGCCGACCTCATGATATTACTGTAATCATTTATATGATATAGGTGAGAGTTAAGTGTGGACAAGAAGACTGTTACAAGTTAAGAGAAGTGGGGCATGGATGATCGCGGATGGAATGGGAGAAAGTGAAGCCCGGAAAATAAAAAAGAGATACAGAGACATTGAATATAGAAGTGTACCAGCATGAGATAAGCAGGTGAATGGCGGACCCTGCAAATCGGGTCACCCATTAGGTCGGTGAATAGGGAGAGCTTCCCACTGGGTCCGACCTCACATATCTTTTCCATGGCCTCCACTCTCTCTCGGTCCTTACTGGCCTCGAATACCCTCACCACCACCGTCTCAGGCTGTTCTCCCATGCTGACAACACTGAGGCGTTACAGGAGATGAGAGAATCTGGAGTGAGGAGAAACGTGAGCAGGGGCGGGGTAAATATAGAGGAGAGGGAGAAGGAGAGAGGTGTGAGAGTGAGGAAATCGCAGCCTTTTCAAGACAGATTAACGTGGGTGATAAGCAAGAAACTCGAGCCAGGGCTTCGAAATTGGGAACAGGGAGGAGTGGCAGAGGGACGATAGAGGATCAGAGTGGGGAGCGAAACAGCATGAAAAGCGAGCATAAATGAATTAAACCGGGGGGGGGGGGGGTGGGAATAATAGCGAAAACCGTTGAGGTGTGCTCTGGGCAGTGGAGGGGTTGTCATGGCAGGGAAGGAAGGGCCCTCGCGCCGCTTTAAATACCTGATTTTTTTGGCTCTGGTTTTCCCGGATGTTTATTTTATTTTATTTTATTTTCCGGGAAAGAGCACTCTCTCTCTGTATATATAGAATCCATGACTCGGCTTCTCTATTCTTTAGGAATATTATTGAATTGATGATTTCTTTTTTCTTCATTTGCCTTTTGAAAGGACGTATTGTTTTATTAGGTGCCTGGATCTGTTCCCATCGTCGCAGTTGGTGAGTTTGTTGAGTGTATAATACTGGCTCGAGTACTAATTATAAAAACTAGTTCAGAGATTAAAGAAATAAATTGAATTAGTTATTTATTATAAATAGGTGTTATTTTTTCTAAAATATTCTTGCTAATTAAGTATTGACTAGAACTAACATTGTTAGGAAAACTACTTTAGGAAAAAAATGTATAAATATGAGAGACAAAATATTCCCTCCGTTCTTATTATAAGAGACATTTGGTGCTTATGACATGTTCTTGTAGACACTTAAAAGTTATCTCTATTTTTGTGTGTTGATTTCCTATTTTATCCATATTTATTGTCTCCAACTCACACTCTCTCTTCTTTCCACTTTTCTTTCTTTGAATAATTTACCATTGTTCTCTCTCATGCTCTCTTTCCTTGTTAATGAGGGCCTCTTTGAAAAAAAAATTATACTTTTTACACATTGATTGTTTTTAACTAATTTTAACTGTTTTTTTATCAACGTAATTCGATTATTCGTCTCTTATAATAAGAAACAGAGGGAGTAGATTGGGGTTTTATATTTAGGACCAAAATAAAAGTCAAATAGGATCTTATATTAAGGATAGGAGGTAGTAATAATTAAGCTTCCGTATCCCGTTCACAGTATCGTTGTTATTTTTATTTATTTTTTAAAATATTTTGGGGGGGGCTAAATTAATGAGATGGAATCAAGAAGGAAGAGCAATAATGGAGGATCAAAGGAAATTAAAAAAAAAAAAAGAGAAAAGAAGGAAAAAAGGGGGAGGAGGGGAATGGATATAATGATAACAGGAAAAAGGAAGGAAGCAAATGGCGGCTGTGGCTGCGCAGTCTTAGCAGGTGTGGAGAGAGAGGGAGGGAGTTTTCGCTAATTTTGGATTTTTTTAAAAAATGAATAAAAATAAGGGGGAGGAAAGGAAGCGTTGCCATCAAGACCCCATTGGTAATGATTGCATAATGCATAAAATGGGGAATGTGGTGGTGGGGGGGATGCTGCATGTTCCATGTGAGGATCAAAATTGGAGCACATACCACATATACATACACATTGATGATTGATGATGGTGATGATGGTAAATAATGCAGAGGGGAGACGGGGGAGTGCGTTACCTGAGACCTTTTAGAACCAATTGGTAAAGTGAGTCACATTTTCTTTCACGGTGCCTGAGTCTTTCCACCTGTCTCCACTCCCTCCCGCCCTGCCTACCTGGCTTCTCTGTCCTTCCCATTTGATCTCAGCCTCCCCACCTTCACATTCATTTCTCTTTTTACTCATCATATATCTCCATTATTAATTTTGTTTCCATTTCCTGGCCACACTGCCCTATTTGTTAATTCATCTAATATCATTTCATTACTACTATAACACATCACTACAAATAAACCAATACATTATATACGCAGTAAAAATAATTACCAAAATGCTAAATGAAAAGAATTCATCGAAATACTCCACTTAATAAGCTAGTTCACTTACCTTGTTGGTTCTGGATAAATTTTTTTTAAAAAAATATTACTGCCTCCTGTCTTAGTTATAAAATATTATTTGTGAACTATAAATAAAATTTTCTGATTAAGACGGAAAGTTGTATAATAATAATGGATAAATCTACGAAGACGTTAGGAGTGAAAACGCAAAAGGCGGATGGTTGACTCGGTTCTAATATAGAGTGGTACCGGTAGGAGCGAGGATTTTGGCGCCGCAATGCACATGATCATCGTCCGTATTCACAGCCAGAATCGGACGGCTGGGATTACCCGTGATTCACGGACACCGCCGATTTTTGCCTTCTGCTTCAGGACTCCGATTAAAGCCTGTGACGGTGATGATACACGTTTCACCACTTATTGAGCGCGGCAGTCCCATTCATTCTCACTGGTCAGCCTCCATAAGCTGCTTTTTTCTTATCACATTAATTCACTCATTCAGGCTGTTCTCTTCTCTTCTTGGTACGCATCTCTTGCAAAACGCCCTCACGCATGCATGACGTGGGCCAATTTTTGAATTTAAATTAAAAGCCAGTTTAAATAATAATTTTAGTATAATTGCTACGTACCATCAGATCCGGGGATCAACCTGAACCTGAGAGAGAGTTCGTGGGAGTTGGCATTGCACCTTGGCTTATGGAAGAGTTTAATACAGGACCCAAAACGGCTTTTAACAATGATTGGCGATTTATGAGGATTTCACACTTAATTAATTCCACCACGGCTATTTCCTCTTCTCTAATAATTAATAACCACCTACAACATCTCTCTCTCCCTCTCTCTCTCTCTGCGCGCCTAACACATATTCTTGAAATTAATTAAAACGGAATGGATCCAAAATGATTGATGATCGTTCAACAAATCTTAGTTAAATTAAACGGCGAAAAATAATAATGAAAAGTGAAGGTTCTCACGTATGACTAAGAAACTTCGAGCGATCTTCCACACCAGAACACGTAGAAAAAGAAATTGATTTGTGTATGCATGCGTATAATTTAAAAGTGGAGCGAGAGAGCTAGAATACAAGGATTCCACTGGAAGATATATGTTGTGCTACACACCATGATCGGGGGGAAGGTGGTGGATATAATAAGAAAGCGAAATAGGAATAGATAATACATATAAAACGAGGAGCGAGTTGCGTTATATATATATATAATCACAGGCGGAAAGCTGATTCCATCTACATCCATTAGGATTGATGAACAGCCAGAGGATGTAACTGGAGCACGTACAGTATATTAAATAATGTGTACGTGTGTGCGTATGTGAGGGTTTCTTTTGGTTTTTGGATGGGGAGGCCGTTTATAATATCTGAGGGAGAGTGGGAATTAATGCTCCTGGTGGTGAAGAATCGACCGGCGACTACTACTGTTTCTTTTGTTTAATTTATTACCACTATTTATTTATTTAATTAATGGATCCTCCCCTCAAATTTGTACGTCTCCGCTGTTTTTTTTCTTTTAACACGTAAAAACATGTTGACAATTCATGTGTTCATCTCACTTCCACATATCCGTTTATTGTCTCACACTTGTTCAGATCTCTCATGACGATCGAGTCCCTTGACATTCTGATTAATTAAATACTTGTCATTTCATATTTCATGTATAGCGGGGGAGGGAGCCCCAGAGCCAAAGGGTTATTCGCATTTCATGTTAGAATGATATTTTTCTTTTTATACAATTAGATCCACACACGCAAACAAATATGCTAACATCAAACTTAAGCCTAGCCAATACTCGATCCAAGCATAACGAGTTGCGTTGCAGACAATTTGTTATTATCTATCAGAATGATCAATAAACACAATTCTTCATAGTAAGCGAATAATTCCACGGGCCCGGCAAAGAAAAGAGACCATAGCTTGCCCAGAGTGGTACGGCCTTTTCTTTCTTTTTGTAAAGGAGATATTCTCTAGTATATAACTAATGCCAGTGACATTAATAAATAAATTTTATATACATACATATATGATTATGATATATGCTGACGTTGACATTGATAGTTGCGACTGGTATGAGAATGATACTCTTCCGGTCCTTAATATAAAACCCATTTAACTAATTTGATTACATTAAGAAAGTTAGGTAAGCTAGTTAATTATAAGAAATGTGACACATTTTTCTTAAAATACCATAATTATCTTTCTTAATACCTCATCTCCCTCTTTTACTTGATTATGGTTGCGGGAATATCTATGGGGTAATTTAGAGAAAATTAATAAATATGATAAATAGGTCTTATATTTAGGACCAAAACCAACTCAACAATTAGGTTCTATATTAAAGACCAGAGGAGTATTAGCTTTTACAGGGGGGAAGAATGTCAATAAATAATATCAACAGTACTGCTGAGAAGTTGATAGAAGAATATATAACCGTTATTAAATTAATTATCATTATGCACTACCTTTTATTAGCCCTCATCATATATATATATGTTTTATTAATTAATTTATAAGCATATCTATATATTCTACCTTTGCTGATTTACTTTATGTGATGCTTCATAAACTAACAAGTCCAAGGCAAACCGAAACCGATTATTGCGTGGTTAGATCAACAAGTGTGAGGCGCACATATATGGCACTAATAATAATTAACCTTTATCCATATTATTACATTATATATATACATGCCTCAATGATATTCAATAATATTTCAGAAGTTATATACTGTTTCACGTGTTGTGCCAATCGAATCAGTGAGGAGGACATGGATATATTAAACACGAGCAAAGCAGCCTTCACAAGTTTAAATTAAAATAATAAAAGGTCTGAGCTTAAAAAAAATTAATTAAGCCACTATAAATGCTGTATAGTGATCCAAGGTATATGTGTAATAGTTTAGCAAGAGGCTTCAGATTTCAATTAAAGTTTAAATATTTTCTTTACTATACACCAAAAAGAATCTCTAGAAGAACATGAAGACCGGTTTTATTATAGCCATATAATGACTAAGAAAATCAAAGATATGTGTTAGCGTAAAATTATAATCAATTATAATGCACTTTAACAAAGCTGAAACATTCTAAAATATATAAACAAGATTTAAGAGAAAATCACCGAGGTTTTCAAGATTCAACTTTATGGTTCAAGTGGTCAACACAAAAGCATATTTTATATGTATATGCCCTCGAAATGTATACTTGGGTATGGAATAAAGTAATTGAATTAAAATAAAACCAGGATGATATTCCTGCTCATTGTTAATAATTACTAAAACTAGCCATTTTCGATTTAAAAGTGCGATCCCGAGAATCCACCATGATTTTGCTTACCAAATTATTCTTTGCCTAGACGGTTGTCAACAACTTCATGAGATTTGAAATCGCGAAAGTAAT